TACTCTATGCGATTTTAGGTTTTAAAAGTGACTTGTATCAGATGTCTGCATTTAAACTACACACCGCAAAGACTCAATGACCCAGAAAAATAGAGTGGGTGCTGACTGACAGTTGTGATAACAAAATGGTGCTCTTTTTTTTTTTTTTCTAACATTCCTGTATTTTACTCGTTTTTTTGTTTTTTTTTGTGCTATAGTTTCACAGAAACATTCTCATTTGTTCATTTGTTTAAACTAGTTGCCAGTTAAAGGTTTAAGGTGCTGTTTGTACGTTTTAGATTCTTCTAAAGCAGGAGTCTGGAACCTTTTTTCAGCAAAGAGCCATTTCTAATTTTTTTGAAATGCATTATTTTAAAGAGCCATTTGGATTTATATATCTCAAAATGCCTCTTTAAAAATGCATTTATTACTGTATTACTATAAATTACTAAAATTTTATTAAAGTATTACTACAAATATTATATTATTATTTATAATATTACTTTAAATAATACAGGTTTAAACAAAACCTTATTATATGTCCAAATGTACAAAAAAAAAAAAAAAAGCAGCATCACATGTTGAGCAAGTCCATGAATGAAGATAGAACAATTTATAGTATTATGCCATCACCACTCATGATTGTTGTTTGAATTTAATTTACCATAGAAACTTAAGTTGTTTGCCACAGCCATGTCACCCTGCAGCCCAAGACCGGTTACTCACTGAAGCTAAGCAGGGCTGAGCCTGGTCAGTGCCTGTATGGGAGACCACTAGGGAACACTAGGTTGCTGTTGGAAGTGGTGTTAGTGAGGCCAGCAGGGGGCGCTCAACCTGTGGTCTGCGTGAGTCCTAATGCCCCAGTAAAAGTGAAGGGGACACTACACTGTCAGTGGGCGCCGTCTTTCGGAAGAGACGTTAAACCGAGGTCCTGACTCTCTGTGGTCATTAAAAATCCCATGGCACTTCTCGTGAAAGAGCAGGGGTGTGACCCCGGTGTCCTGGCCAAAGTCCCTCTATCACTGTCCCTCCACTCCACCAATAGCTGGTGTGTGGTGAGCGCACTGGCGCCGTTGTCCTGTGGCAGCCGTCACATCATCCAAGTGGATGCTGCACACTGGTGGTGGTGTGAAGAGACCCCCCTCATGATTGTGAAGCGCTTTGGGTGTACGGCCATACACAATAAATGCGCTATATAAATACACATTACATTACATTACATTACATTACATTTTTATTGGTGTGATAATTCAAGTTTATCCACAGCACAACAAACGCACATTAATCAAAACCTCCTTTTATTTTTAACTGAGTTCTTATTCATTGTGCTGTTAAAATTACAATTAAAAAGGGGATTGCAATTGTATTTTTGATAGAAAACTGACTTTTAGTGATGGTCATAATTTTTTAAACGGTAAAATAATATTGAAGGTAGATAGCTGGAGAGTAGGGCTGGGCAATTTGGCAAAAAAAAAAACTAGGTTTTTTATAAAGTTTGACCGATACACGATTTTGATTTCGTTTTTTTTTTTTTGTGTTACTAGTCTTCTCAAAACATTACAACAACATGACTGAAGTAACATTCTCATTAAAATTAACTTAAACCATCTGGTTAAGGAACATTGTATTTTTAATGGCCATGTCATACAAAAATCGGTCAAGGTGTAAATAAATGTAAAACAAATTCACAAGTTAAATAGTGTTGCTGAAGATTTGAATAAGAAATATTTGTGTAAATATTGCAGTTGCAGGAATACAGAGGTATTTGTTGCAAGTTTTGCTGAGTCTAGGAAAGATTGGCTGTCAGCTCGGCTTTGTCTTTGTCTTCTGATTGAATGACAGGTTGTATTGTTGCTGCCTTTTCTTAAAAAGATACAGTGGAAGAAAAGGACTGAACATGGAAACTGTAAAGCCTAATTTAACCCAATATGTGAAGTTGTGCACGTATAGCAGGAGCAAATACAAGCACCAGATGTGTGTCTAATATAAAATAATATATTTAATCTATTTTTTCTTTTTCCCCCTCTTAAATACCGATTATTTGATGCGCTTTGCTCCACTCCCTGTATTATGCTGCCTGATCTGTCTGGTTTTCAATCAGGTCCGCTAAATGGTCATGGGGGCGGCTACTTTCATTTTCACTGCTACAGGCCCTCACCTCTGCTCGTGTTCAAACCAAAAGATCGGCGCTGTTTTTCACATGGCAGGGTTTTACGTCCTTCATACATGTTGAGATCGAGTTTATCGACTTGATGAGGGAATGTCGTGACAATCCACACAGACGTGCAACAAGTAAAATCCTACATGACTTCACGCTTTAACAGGCAGTCAAGCAGGTCGCACACCAGAAGCGCCGCAACACGGCGCGCAAATGACAGTTTAAACTATCACACACCAAACGATCACATTCGCATGATATTTAACATGAAACTAATCAGATGGCGCTCTGTGGCACGGCTGAAATATGACCTGCGTCCTGAATCGTGGTGCTGCATGGCGCGTCGCCGAGAGGCGCTTCTGTTATGCTTCCTGCTTCATACAGAGAGTGAACCAAAGCGCATTGGTGCCATTATAATGTACTAAATATGTTTTTTTTTTAAAAATAGCGATTTCTCGATTTGATTTAAAATTAAATCGTCTGAAAACGTAAATTCGAATTAATCGAAAAAATCGGAAAAATCACCCAGCCCTACTGGAGAGTCGCATTTTTTTTGAGAGCCGTAGGTTCCCTACCACTAAAGCATAAAAACATCACAATATGTTTGCAGATAATTAACAAACGTGCGCAGTGAACATTCTTGTTTATGTTAAAAAACGTGCTGGAACGTCTGTCTTTGTTTTGGTCCCTTTAACACGCCCACTGCCACTTTAGCCAATTATATTTTAGCACCCAGGCTTGCCTTAGTGGAAAACAAATATTAGCAAATAATATTGAACAGGTTACATTGTAACCCTGTGTACTAACAACAAGCGGTGTGTCGAGTTTGGATGATCTGACCTTGAAATCTTTCGCTACCATTTTTAATGATATGCGACTCACATGTACAGGTGAAAATTCGCTCTACCTGCTTACACAGCAGACATGAAGGCACATCTAGGACTCGTATTGGACTGATTTGAGTAATCAGATTTTTTTCTGTTTATCTGTGCCACATGGGAGAAGGAAATCAGAATTGTGTCTTTTGAAACATGCAGTGCAAATGCAGCCTTATTTGAGGAAGCCCTGCTGGTGGATTGGCGTCATACTGTGTTGTTGTTGTTGTTGTTGTAGGTGGGTGATATCGTGAGAGTAGCCAAAGACGAGACGTTTCCCGCAGATCTGGTGCTGTTATCATCGGATCGGGCCGAGGGGACGTGCCACATCACCACCGCCAGCCTTGACGGAGAGACCAACCTGAAGGTCTGTTTCTCTGCTCTCGAACTGAAGCCACTCACTGAATTACTTGCGGTGATTAAAGTGCCCCTATTATGCTGTTTTCATGCTTTATAATTTTGTCTTGGAGGCCTCTCGCTAGAGCCGCATAACCATCCAAGGTCAAAGAAGATTTTCATTTTCTCATTATATTCATTGCAGCGTCAGCTTTTCAGAGCCTCAAACAGGGATTTTTAAACAGTTGGATTAAAGTACACATCACGTGACATCAAAACTAACCATGTTGATTCTGTTAGCTCACGTTTCTAGATGTGGAGAACAATTCATCATGTCATCAAGAGGAAAATGTTTGCCCTTGTGTCATCTTTAATTGAATCTGAAAATGCACTGTAATACTTTGATCAATCAGAGAATTGATTGATCGACTAATCAGTGCAGAGGATTTTGACCAATCAGGGGTGCGTTTCCCAAACAACAATGCAACTCGCGGCTGAACTATCATAGTGCGATGCATCGTTTAGGGAAAGAACGATGTAGTGTCGAGTGTTACCCAAAACCCGTCGCAGATCCATCGCTTGAACTATGTGAGTTATAACATGTAACGCCCATAATGGCGCTCTAAACAGGGTGGAGGAACTACTTCTTTAGAGAAAAACCCATCATATCTTTGTGCAAATTATATTGTTTTACACGAACACGCATTTAAAATAAAATCCAATGTGAGTTTTGGTAAAAACATGCACTCGCTTTCCATATTAACTGAAATATATGTAGATGGCACATAGCTTTACTAATATTATTGAGAAGTTGAACATTGCATATTGTGTTCTAAAACATATCACTTACAAAAGCTAACACATATTCTAATATCATATATAAATCATATAAATAAATAATGAGGCTATTAATTGAGAAATGAAATGTATTATTTATTATGAAATGAAAAAAATCCTTACTACTTTTTTTTAACAAGTGTTTTTATTAGTTTTACATTGTCCAACAATTACCAAACAACACAACTTGTATAAAAAATACCAGGAATAAGCATGATAATACAAAGTAAATAACGGTAATAATAAATAAAATAAAGAAAAATAGATTTTAAAAAAATTAAATAAGTTATTATTAAAAAAACAATTAGGGCATATAAACGGTTTCTATGAAAATACAGAAAGACAGTCAATAGGGGGAGTGAGCATATTAAGCATTACATTGCTGCTCGGAATCCGCATTATATTGGTCCAGGTGATCAAGAAATGGTTGCCATATAATATAAAACTCAGCAAGATTATCAATAACTCCATATCAGACTCTTTCCATGTGCAAAATTTGAGTGAGATAAGTTAACCATGTCTTGAATTGAGGAACAGAATCTGATTTCCACAGTTTTAGGATGACACTCTTAGCAATAATCATTTCATAAATGATGGTGAAAAATCCTTACTACTTTAATAATAATGATATAAATTATATTATTGATGATGATAATGATGATGAGTATCATTGTATTATTATTATCATTATTATTATTGTTATTATTATTATTATTGTTGTTATTATTATTATTATTATTTTATTATTATTATTATTATTGTTATTATTATTATTATTATTGTTAAGTAGGATTTTGTATATTTATTTTTATTTTTTGAAAAGTCTACTTTAACGATGTCACATGTAAACCACTGCAGAAAGTTCTGACCAGCAGGCCCATGTCATATACAGTACAGATAATAAGATATAATAAATAACCCACTAAAACCCTGAAAGCAGAGTAGGTCAAGGTGCTCCAGTCAACAGAATGAACATTATTGAGCATGTCTGGGGTAAGATGAAGGAGGCATTAAAGATGAACACAAAGACTCTTGATGAACTCTGGGAGTCCTGCAGGAACGCTTTCTTTGCCGTTCCAGATGACTTTATTAATCAGTGGTTTAAGTCGTGTCAGAGATGTATGGATGCAGTCCTCCAAGCTCATGATGGAGTCAGACACAATATTCATTCTGTCTCCACTGCAGCAGGACTTTATATTCTATACTGGACATTATTTCTGTTCAGTGATTTAGTCTGAGCAGAGTCAGATCTTACTGTCCTAATGAAATCATTAATAATCAAGACATGATCATATTTTACTGTGGTAAAATAAGCATCATCTAGAGGCCTTTGCCTTTCATATAAGCCACTTCAGATACCAAATGATCAACCAGAAGTCCAGTTATTATATGTTGCTCCTAAATCTTGGACTGGCGACAAGACTTTCGTCAGTTTGTGTAGTTCTAATATGTAACCTGGTCTTGACACTGGAAGTTTTCTCTGTGCGGATGTTTAGACCCACTATGCTGTGCCGGAAACGGCGGTGTCGCAGTCTGTGTCGCGGCTGGAGTCTCTGCAGGCGGTGGTGGAGTGCCAGCAGCCAGAGGCAGACTTATACAGGTACCTTTCACAGCTGACCACTGAAACACAGAGCTTTACAATCCTGCGCATCCACATTCGATTTTATGGCACTTTGGCTTTTATCCTGACGCAGCACATTCTCTCCCCTCTCAGGTTTGTCGGGAGAATAACAGTAACCCAGCATGGAGAGGAGATAGTCAGGTAAGGCTTTAGTTTACTCGATCAGAGGAAATAAAATCATTTGTAGATGTATGTTTTTATTTTTGTTTATTGTATGCATATTTAGGTTATTATTTGTGTTTTTTGTATGTTTGTGTTACTCATTTCAGACCATTAGGACCAGAGAACCTCCTGCTTCGAGGAGCAAGATTAAAAAACACCAAAGAAATATTTGGTACATCATCCACACCATTGTCTTGTGAACAACACAACACGAAATCCAAATCGCACGCATTTTCTCTCATAACACACGTTCACAACTTGTTACGGCACTGTGCTTGCTAAAGATAAGTTTGTGTTTGTAATCTTTAAACAAAATTGCGAACCTGCACCATCTATAAAGCCCTTCTTCAGTTGAATGGGTGAATGTTTTAGTATTTGTTACTAGAGCTCTGGAAAAGCATTTGGGAAATTGATTCTTCCGATTGTCAAAACTCATCGTATTCTCTCTTATTGGATTCTGAGTAGTTTTTAATAGGCGATGGAGCTGTGTGGTTTACAGACTGCAGTACTCTGCTTGTATCCAATTCTTTACACAGACTACTTACAACTAAAATAATCATTACTAGAGTTAGGAAAGGTTTAAAGAAGTGTTCATGGTGAGCTGTGTTTACATTAATCTCATGACATAAGAGCAGCTTGTAAAAGTCAGCTGAACACTCAAGCACTTTTTCTCCTGAGCGTTTAAGTATAATGTCAAAGCTAGCCTAGAGCAACATTGGCTATTACAAACTAGCCTAGAGCACTGTCTGCTGTTTAAAACTAGCCCAGAGCTCCTCCTAGAGCGACATGTGCCGCTAAAAACTAGCCTAGAGCACTGTCTGTAGTTTAATACTAGCCTAGAGCGCCATGTGCTGTTAAAAACTAGCCTAGATCACTATGTGCTGTTAAAAACTAGCCTATAGCACCACCTAGAGTGCCATGTGCTGTTAAAAACTAGCCTAGATCCCCATGTGCTGTTAAAAACTAGCCTAGATCACTATGTGCTGTTAAAAAACTATCCTAGAGCACTGCGTGCTGTTAAAAACTAGCCTATAGCACCACCTAGAGTGCCATGTGCTGTTAAAAACTAGCCTAGATCCCTATGTGCTGTTAAAAAACTAGCCTAGAGCACCACCTAGAGCGCCATGTGCTTTTAAAAACTAGCCTAGAGCACTATGTACTGTTTAAAAACTAGCCCAGAGCACTGTCTGCTGTTTAAAACAAGGCTAGAGCACTGTCTGCTGTTCAAAACTAGCCTAGAGCACCGTCTCCTGTTTAAAACTAGCCTAGAGCGCCATCTGCTGTTCAAAACTAGCCTAGAGCACAGTCTGCTGTTCAAAACTAGCCTAGAGCGCCACCTACTGCTCAAAACTAGCCTAGTGTGCCAACTGCTGTTCAAAACTAGCCTAGAGCTCCGACTGCTGTTCAAAACTAGCCTAGAGCTCCAGCTACTGTTCAAACTAGCCTAGAGCTCCGTCTGCTGCTAAACACTAGACTCGAGCTCCATCTACTGTTCAAAACTAGCCTAGAGCTCCATCTGCTGTTCAAAACTTGCCTCGAACAGTCAGTGTCTACTTTTAAAACTAGCCTAGAGCTGCATCTGCTGTTAAACACTAGCCTAGAGCGCAGTCTATTATTCAAAAGTAGCCTAGAGCACAATCTACGGTTCAAAACTAGCATAGAGCTCCGTCTACTGTTCAAACTAGCCTAGTGCGCCATCTGCTGTTCAAAACTAGCCTAGAGCTCCATCTACTGTTCAAAACTAGCCTTGAGCGCCATCTGCTGTTTAAACTATCCTAGAGCTTCATCTGCAGTTCAAAACTAGCCTAGAGCACCGTCTACTGTCAAAACTGACCTAGAGCTCCATCTACTGTTCAAAACTAGCCTTGAGCGCCATCTGCTGTTTAAAACTAGCCTAGAGCACCATCTACTGTTAAAACTGACCTAGAGCTCCATCTACTGTTCAAAACTAGCCTTGAGCGCCATCTGCTGTTTAAACCTAGCCTAGAGCGCAATCTGCTTTTCAAAATTAGCCTAGAGCGGCGTCTACTGTTAAAACTAGCCTAGAGCGCCATCTGCTGTTCAAAACTAGCCTTAGGATCGATGCAGAATGTCTCAAAAGCTTTTTCTCAGCTCTATTTTGAATGGTTTTGCAGCAGTGTAGTCAGTATTTCTGTTCTATAATCCTGCAGGTGTGGCTGTGTACACGGGCATGGAGTCCAAGATGGCTCTGAACTACAAGTGTAAATCTCAGAAGCGCTCTGCAGTGGAGAAGTAGGTGTTTCTTCATTTTACTGTCCACCTTTACATTCCCTCAGCGTTTCTTTACTGCTCCATTATGGCTACATCATCTCTCTCTCTCTCTCTCTCTCTCTCTCTCTCTCTCTCTCGCTCTCTCTCTCTCTCTCTCTCTCTCTCTCTGTCTGTGCAGATCAATGAATACATTTCTCATCATCTACTTGGGCATCCTGCTGTTTGAAGCCATCCTCAGCACCATTTTAAAGTACGCCTGGCAGGCGGAGGACAAGTGGAACGAACCGTTTTACAACCAGAAGACCGATCAGGAGAGAAACAGCAGCCAGGTCACTAGAAAGCGCTTATGATGGTTATTGTTTCTCAATTAAAAGGCACACTGATAAAATAATAGTATCTGAGATAGATAATAAATATCTGTTTAGTTTAGATCTGTTTAGTTGAATTCAGATCTATTTAGCTTAGTTTAGTTCAGAATGGTTTAGTTTAGTTTAGTTCCATTTAGTTCAGTTCCATTTGTTGAGTTTAGTTCAGATCAGTTTAGTTCACTTTTGTTTTATTCAGATCTGTTTAGTTTAGTTCAGATCCTTGTAGTTCAGTTCAGCTTCATTTGGTTCAGTTCAGTTTAGTTTAGTTTAGATACATTTAGTGTAGTTCGGATACATTTTGTTCAATTTCATTTCGTTCAATTCAGCTTAACTTAGTTTAGTTCAGTTTCATTAAGTTCAGTTCAGATCCGTTTAGTTCAGTTCAGTTTCATTTAGTTCAGTTTAGTTCCGTTTAGTTCAGTTTAGTTCAGTTTAGTTCCGTTTAGTTCAGTTTAGTTCCGTTTAGTTCAGTTTAGTTCAGTTTAGTTCCGTTTAGTTCAGTTTAGTTCCGTTTAGTTCAGTTTAGTTCCGTTTAGTTCCGTTTAGTTCAGTTTAGTTCCGTTTAGTTCAGTTTAGTTCCGTTTAGTTCAGTTTAGTTCCGTTTAGTTCAGTTTAGTTCCGTTTAGTTCAGTTTAGTTCCGTTTAGTTCAGTTTAGTTCCATTTAGTTCAGTTCAGTTTCATTTAGTTAAGTTCAGATTCATTTAGTTCAGTTCAGATCCATTTAGTTCAGTTTAGTAACATTTAGTTAATTTACATTTAGTTTATTTTAGTTCCATTTAGTTCAGTTTAGTTTCATTTAGTTCAGTTCAGTTCCATTTAGTTCAGTTTAGTAACATTTAGTTCAGTTACATTTAGTTAATTTTAGTTCCATTTAGTTCAGTTTAGTTTCATTTAGCTCAGTTTCATTTAGTTCAGTTTAGTTCAGATCCATTTAGTTCAGTTCAGTTTTAGTTCCATTTAGTTTAGTTTAGTTCAGTTTAGTTAAGATCCATTTAGTTCAGTTTAGATCTATTTAGTTCTGTTTAGATCTATTTAGATCATTTACACTTATTTCAGTTCAGTTTCGTTTAGTTCAGATCTATTTTGTTTATTTCTGCTCCGTTTAGTTTGCAACAGCTATTTGAAACTACTAATATATATGCAAATGTTTTTTTATGTATATACATGTGTGTGGGTATTTATAAATACATAATAAATTTTCACAGTACCCGCATATTTATCTAAATATTTTGTATGCAATTAGTCATGTTTAATTAGGTGTTAAACAACCCTACACAAATGCTTCGCTAAAACAGATGAAAATAGGTGATATTGTGTCTAAAATGTAACTCTGTATTAACAATTATTGAGCTGTTGTATAAATTCAGTATATTTCCAGATGTTCAGGAGAGCAGCACTCTTGCTTGAGTGATTTTATTGAACCATAAAGTAACTTGTGAATATTAAAAAGACAGACCTGTATGGAAATGAAAACTTCTGGCTGCATTCTGATAAGCTTTCAGCCAGTGTTTTTAGATGTGTTTTTATCTAATATACTTCTAATAATAAAATCAGCTCGCACATCATTCAAAAGCAATTATATTATAATCATAGACAATAATACTGCACATTTCTACCAGTTGGTACTAAGATGACAGCTTTTATACCCACTTTCTATTTTGATTTGTCAGTGAAGTATACATTTTCACACTGACTGTAATGCTTTGATTTCAAGACTTTGTTTTTCACTGAGATGCTGATAATTGTTTGTTCACATTTATGTATTATGGCTCTTTGATGCCTCCCAAGTCTAGGTTTCTAGGTTTCACCTTTTTCTTTTTTCCCTTTACAGATTTTGAAGTTTATTTCGGACTTCCTGGCTTTCCTGGTGTTGTATAACTTCATCATCCCCATCTCGCTGTACGTGACTGTGGAGCTGCAGAAGTTTCTGGGCTCCTTCTTCATCGGCTGGGACTTGGATCTGTACCATGAAGAAAGTGACCAGAAAGCTCAAGTCAACACATCAGACCTCAATGAAGAGCTGGGCCAGGTGTGTGTGTTCGGCAGGGCTCTTTCGACTGCTCTACGCTTGCTTCAATTTTAATTGAGTGTTTTTAAGGTTTGAAAAGTTCTTACATTTTGAATCAAGTGCTTGAAAATATCTTAATTTGTTACTAAATAGATATATATTAATAAGAGTTAATACAGTAATTAAATAAATAATAATGGTAATAATTATATATATTGATTTTGCATCAAATGAAAACCCAGGAGTCTATTTACATGGATTTATATCTATACTAGAGTGTCTGTTTACATCTACAGTATATCTGTACCTATTATTTAAAGTAGTCATGAAATCAAAAGCCTCTCTTCGCGTTTTATATGTGTATAGTAGGGCGGCACTATCAGTGTTTTAGGGTAGGGCTAGCAGTCCTTTAGGGTGGGACTATCAGTAATTTGGGGCGGGGTTATCAGTGTGTTTCATGGTGGGAGGTGGCACTATCTGTAATTTGGGGTGGGGTTATCAGTGCTTTAGGCTGGAACTATCAGTGATTTTTGGGGTGGGCTATCAGTAATTTGGAGTGGGATTATTAGTGCTTTGGGGTGGGACTATCAGTGATTTTGGGGTGGGACTATCGGTGATTTTTGGGGTGGGACTATTGGTGATTTGGGGCGGGGTTATCAGTGCTTTGGGGTGGGACTATCAGTGATTTTTGGGGTGGGACTGTCAGCTGTAATTTGGTATGGGGTTATCAGTGCTTTAGGGTGGAACTGTCAGTGATTTTTAGGGTGGGACTGTCAGTAATTTGGGGCGGGGTTATCAGTGCTTTAGGGTGGAACTGTCAGTGATTTTTAGGGTGGGACTGTCAGTAATTTGGGGCGGGGTTATCAGTGCTTTAGGGTGGAACTGTCAGTGATTTTTAGGGTGGGACTGTCAGTAATTTGGGGCAGGGTTATCAGTGCGTCAGGGTGGGACTATCAGGGATTTTTTGGGTGGAACTATCAGTAATTTGGGGCGGGGTTATCAGTGCTTTAGGGTGGAACTATCAGTGATTTTCGGGTGGGACTATCAGTAATTTGGGGCGGGGTTATTAGTGCTTTGGGTGGGACTGTCAGTGATTTTTGGGGTGGGACTGTCAGTGATTTTGGGTGGGGTTATCAGTGCTTTGGGGTGGGACTGTCAGTGATTTTTGGGGTGGGACTGTCAGTGATTTTTGGGGTGGGACTGTCAGTGATTTTGGGTGGGGTTATCAGTGCTTTGGGGTGGGACCACCAGTGATTTTTTAGGTGGGACTGTCAGTGATTTTGGGTGGGGTTATTAGTGCTTTGGGTAGGGACTATCAGTGATTTTTGGGGCGGGGTTATCAGTTCTTTGGGGTGGGACTATCAGTGATTTTTGGGGTGGGACTATCGGTGATTTGGGGTGGGTTATCAGTTCTTTGGTGGTGGGACTATCAGTAATTTGGGGTGGGACTGTCAGAAATTTGGGGCGGGGTTATCAGTGCTTTGGGGTGGTACTATCAATGATTTTTGGGGTGGGACTGTCAGTAATTTGGGGAGGGGTTATCGGTTCTTTGAGGTGGGACTATCAGTGATTTTTGGGGTGGGACTATCGGTGACTTGGGGTGGGTTATCAGTTCTTTGGGGTGGGACTATCAGTGATTTTTGGGGTGGGAATGTCAGTAATTTGGGGCGGGGTTATTAGTTCTTTAGGGTGGAACTATCAGTGATTTTTTTTGGGGTGGGACTATCTGTGATTTGGGGTAGGTTATCAGTTCTTTGGTGGTGGGACTATCAGTAATTTGGGGTGCGGTTATCAGTGCTTCAGATTGGGACTATCAGTAATTTTTGGGGTGTGCCTATCTGTGATTTTTTGGGTGGGACTATCAGTAATTTGGGGCGGGGTTATCAGTACTTTAGGGTGGGACTATCAGTGATTTTTTTTGGGTGGGACTATCAGTAATTTGGGGCGGGGTTATCAGTGCTTTAGGGTGGGACTATCAGTGATTTTTGGGTTGGGGCTATCAGTAATTTGGGTTGGGGTTGTCTATGACTTGGGGGTTGTCAGTGACTTAACTAAAACATTAAGAGAGGTATAGGAGGTAGAAGTATGTGGTGACGTCAAAACAGTTGTTGATCCATTTAGACTTTGGAAGAGGTGTAAGAAAACTGGTGCGTGTGAACTTGAACTCAGGGTCTATGGAAAAGGATGCCTGCCATTAGTAAATGATGCTAATGCTGCGCCCACAGGTGGAGTACGTCTTCACTGACAAAACGGGGACCCTGACGGAGAACGAGATGCAGTTTCGGGAGTGCTCCATCAATGGGGTCAAATACCAGGAGATCAACGGGAAGCTGGTTCCTGAAGGACTGACAGAAGACACACCAGACGGATCCCTGCCTTGTCTGGTGAGGGACATGTTTCATGTTCATTTTCACTGTAATAGAGTTATCACTGTTTGTCATTAAAACAGCTCATCTGACATTACTGTGAAGAGAAATTAAAGCAAAACAGAGTTCATTCTGCTTTTTAATGCAGAAGTATTGTTGTTTTTTGTGCAGAATGTATTAAAGCAGGAGCTATTACTGTTTGTTGCTATATTAAAGCTTGTTTTATATTACTGTGATGAGAAATTGAAGCAAAAATGTGGTTTATTCTGTGCAGGAAATGTTGAAGTATTGCAGAATGAGTGGTTTAAAGCAGGAGCTGTGATGAATGACAGACATTACAGTGTTTACAGAGAGCAAAACCTTGAGAAGACCAGTTTTACATCACTCGGTGACACTGTTATTTCACATGATGCTCCCTCTCTGTGTGTGTGTGTGTGTGTGTTTCAGAGCCGTGAAGAGGAGCTGTTCCTGAAAGCCGTGTCTCTGTGTCATACGGTGCAGATCAGTTATGATCATCCTGACGCCGCGGCGGACCCCTTCTCTCACGCTAACGGCTTCTCTGCGCAGATGGAGTATTACGCCTCGTCTCCTGATGAGAAAGCTCTCGTGGAGGCCACCAAGAGGTCTCGCACATCTCCACATATCTCCTCCATCAGATTAATATTATTTATTGAACCACAGTGGGGAAAATCAGTATTGAACACGTCATGTTTTTTCCTGGAAGTAATATTTCTGATGTCACAGGTTTGAGTTTTTCACAGACTTCAACAGAGTGTCTAAATCTAGATGTTCTGTGGGTCTCGTCTATCAAATCTGAGCTTTATTTTGTATTTTTATTGGATTCAAGTCAGGTGATTGGCTGGGCCATTCTACAGCTTGATTTTCTTTCACTGAAAGCATCTGAGAGTTTCCCTGGCTGTGTTTTGGATCAACGTCTTGCCTAAATGTCCACCCTGGGTTTATCTTCATCCTTCTAATGTAGATTCTGGACTGAAGCAGCTGATGTTCATTTACACTGAGGAAGGGCAGAGGGTTGCTGAAGAACTACTGAGAGATTTCAGCTGCTGTCTGGGCTTTCCATGTCTTTCTAAACCTTCCTTTCTTCATGTGTTCAATTCTTTTTCCCTGTGTCAATTCATTTTATTAGACATAACTTCATTTATAAACAAATTAGATTTGTTTCCTTTGCATATATGGATTTCTTTGGTTGTTACCAACATCTGGGAAATTTCAAGTCAACAGCAGCTTTAGAAATATGTCTTCTGAGAAACTTGGTGACGTGTTCAATACTTATTTCCTACGATGTTCATGTCTGAATAACACATTTATTGGGTGAACGGTCTTTTGAAATTGTGTTTTTGCACACAGGATGGGAGTCACGTTTATGGGAAGCCATGGAGAAATCATGGAGATTAAAAAGTTCGGAAAAGCAGAGAAGTACGCCTCACTCTTTATTTGATTCATTTTAGATCACTAATTATGATTCATAATATCCTTTCACAGTGTAAGACAAGATACTAAAAGTGAATTGGTTATATATATATATATATATATATATATATATATATATATATATATATATATATATATATATATATGTATATATATAATTATATATATAATTATTTACTGCTTTCTTTTTACAATACATCCCCAGGCGATCAATGAAAATAATACTTGCAAACATTGCATTATAAGTTTTCTAGTATTTTTGCTAATTTATTTACTGGCCACTTTATTAGGTACACCTAATAATAAACAACGTTTGTTAACGCAAATGTCTAATCAGCCAATCACATGGCAGCTACTCAATGCATATAGGCATGTAGACATGATCAAGATGCTTTGCTGCAGTTCAAACCAAACATCAGAATGGGGAAGAAATGTGATTTTAAATGTGGCATGGTTGTTGATGCCAGACGGGCTGGTCTGAGTGTTTCAGAAACTGCTGATCTACTGGGATTTTCGCGCACAATCATCACTAGGGTTTACAGAGAATGGTCTGACAAAGAGGAAATATCCGTTGAGCGGCAGTTCTGTGAGCGCAAATGCCTTGTTGATGCCAGAGGTCAGAGGAGAATGGCCAGACTAGTTCCAGCTGATAGAAAGGCAACAGTAACTCAAATAAGCACTCGTTACAACCGAGCTCTGCAGAAGAGCATCTCTGAACACACAACACGTCCAACCTTGAGGCGGATGGGCTACAGCAGCAGAAGAGCACACCGGGTGCCGCTCCTGTCAGCTAAGAACAAGAAACTGAGGCTACAATTCACACAGACTCACCAAAACTGGACAATAGAAGATTGGAGAAACGTTGCCTGCTCTGATGAGTCTCCATTTCTGCTGACACAATTGGATGGTTGGGTCAGAATTTGGCGTCAACACCATGAAAGCATGGATCCATCCTGCCTTGTATCAACCGTTCAGGCTGGTGGTGGTGGTGTAATGTGTGGGGGGAGATTTTCTTGGCACACTTTGAGCTCATTAGTACCAGTTGAGCATTGTGTCAACACCACAGTCCACCTGAGTATTGCTGCTGACCATGTCCATCCCTTTATGAACACAGTGTCTCCATCTTCTGATGGCTACTTCCTGCAGGATAACGCAGCATGTCATAAAGCTTGAATCATCTCAGAATGGTGTCTTGAACATGACAGTGAGTTCACTGCACTCAAATGGCCTCCACAGCCCCCATAACTCAATGCAATAGAGCACGTTTGAGATGTGGTTGAACGGGAGATTCTCATCATGCATGTGCAGCCGACAAATCTGCAGCAACTGCGTGATGCTACCATGTCAATATGGAGCAAAATCTCTGAGGAATATTTCCAGTGCCTTATTGAATTCACGTCATGAAGGATTAAGGCAGTTCAACCCGATACTAGTAAGGTGTACCTAATAAAGTGGCAGGTATTGAAATTAAGCTTTTCAGTGAAAAGGCAGTGCATTTAACAGTTTGCATGGAGTGGAAACCCAGATCTGAAAGCAGGATTTAAAATGGAAGTTGTAGAAAATGCCACTGGTGTCTAACTCCTAAATGACAGCCTTGGAAAATGCTGAAGCCATCTGTGTGCACAGTGTCAGAGTAGAGAGCTGTAGATGAAAGGAATGTGCAAACAAACACACAACAAAAGCACTTAATAACAAGCCCAAAATTGCCTTCGCTTTGGCAGGTGCATGAGAAGACCCAGTTAACCCGCTGTGCTTTCACACACAGGTACAAACTGCTCCACGTTCTAGAGTTTGACGCAAACCGCAGAAGAATGAGTGTGATCCTGCAGACACCTTCAGGCAAGTGCATCTAGAGTGTGTGTGTGTGTGTGTGTGTGTGTGTGTGTGTGTGTGTGTGTGTGTGTGTGTGTGTGTGTGTGTGTGTGTGTGTGAGTGTGAGTGTGTGTGTGTGTGTGAGTGAGTGAGTGAGTGAGTGAGTGAGTGAGTGAGTGAGTGAGAGATGAGTTTGCTAATGACCCGCTGTCTCACCTCAGGTCAGAAGGTGCTGTTCACTAAAGGAGCCGAATCCGCCATCCTGCCCTACACCAAGAGCGGTGAGATCGACAAAACCAGAGTCCACGTGGACGAGTTCGCTCTGGTGAGCCTTCTAGATCATTCTAGAGAGTTATTTTAGGTCCCGAGGCTTGCCATTGCTTAGAAACTGATGGTGGAATGGAGAAACACTGTCAAAAAATGACCTTTGCTGCCTTTTCAAACTACTTATTTCAAATAAGTTGAGAGTTTTTGGGACTACTTAATTGTTTTAAGTTCAATCTACTTACATTTGTAACAATATTTACGTTAATTAATCGATTTGTGTTGGGGCAACATGAAGGACTTGTGTGGAACCCAGCATTGTTTTGTAGTGCATCAAATCTTGAAGGATTAAACTTTAACTGCAACCCGTCCCGCAGTTTAGCTGGTCAATAATTAAATAGACTAAAAATATCTTGAATAATGTTAACAGCCCAGGGGTGGATTCATAATATTGTGCTTCACATGTGTATCTGGTAATCCTTTCATCCGCCTGTCAGAGCTCACATTAACCAGCTCGGAGTGAAGTCTACATCTGAACATTTCAGATGAGCAGTCCAAATTGTTCTGGGTTTGTTTGACTGCATTTTCTGCTGATAAAACCGGCTGCGAAATCCAGTTAATGAGATGTTTCATCTTGCACAGGTTTTAGTTACGCCACAGATTCAGTCATAACTCAATAACAAAATACTCTGACCGGGGGGGCCAAGTCGGAGCATTCACTCTGGTCCCCCGGGCTCTGCCATTGGTTAGAGAAAATCCAAAACAAACCATTACAATTGGCTTAAGATTGGCAAATTCGGAACACTGCAACCTGCAGAACATGGGAAGTTTAAAAAAAAAAATAATAATTAAAAATAAATAAAGAACTCCATTATTTTGAATATATATACTACATTTACCAGCCACTTTATTAGGTACACCTGTCCAACTGCTCGTTAATGCAAATTTCTAATCAGCCAGTCACATGGCAGCAACTCAATGTGTTTAGGCATGTAGACATGGTCAAGACGATCTACTGCAGTTCAAACCGAGCATCAGAATGGTGAAGAATGGGGATTTAAGTGACTGAACATGGCATGGTTGTTGGTGCCAGACGGGCTGGTATTTCAGAAACTGCTCATCCACTGGGATTTTCACGCACAACTATCTCTAGGGTTTACAGAGAATGGTCCGACAAAGAGGAAATATCCGTTGAGCGGCAGTTCTGTGGGCGCAAATGCCTTGTTGATGCCAGAAGTCAGAGGAGAATGGCCAGACTGGTTCCAGCTGATAGAAAGGCAACAGTACCTCAAATAAGCACTCGTTACAACCGAGCTCTGCAGAAGAGCATCTCTGAACACACAACACGTCCAACCTTGAGGCGGATGGGCACCATGTCACAAAAGCGTGAATCATCTCAGACTATTTTCTTGAACATGACAATGAGTTCACTGTACTCTAATGGCCTCCACAGTCACCAGAGCTCAATCCAATAGAGCACCTTTGAGATGAGGTGGAACGGGAGATGTGCAGCCGACAAATCTGCAGCAACTGCGTGATGCTATCATGTCAAAATGGAGCAAAATCTCTGAGGAATATTTCCAGTACCTTGAATCTCCATGAAGGATTGAGGCAGTTCTGATTGCAAAAAGGGTCCAACCCAGTACTACTAAAGTGTACCTAATAAAGTGGCCGGTGAGTGTAAATATAAATGACAAAAACTCATAAAGACCTATTTTTGCTTTCATAGCTTGATTTGTATTCTCTATTCGTTTTAAACTCATTTTGCAAGGTGGAATGCATTTATTTATTTATTTTTTCAATAGTTTTAGGACTTCTGAGACAATGAATAATAAACCACAGTAAACCATTAAGCTCCAAGCAAGTGTGTTTATGACAATAATGTAATAAAATATCACATTACAAATGTTACACAAATGTTAATAACAGTTGATACCAACATCAAGCAGCATAACAAGCTGTTTTTACAGCTATAAATCAACAGAAGTGCATGAGAACGGATGTCTCAAGCCAATAAGATCTAACAGCTGTGAAAGAATAAGCTCAATATTCATTCTCATTCTGTCTGCTTTATTTAGACTTTCATGATATAATATTAATTGTTTTTGTTTTGCTAAGTGAGCTACAGACTCCATAATATCAGCTCAACATCATTAAAACAGCATTTAGAATCTGCCAGAGTCGACTCAACATTGCGCACTGCTGCTGAACCCCACTGTGGGCGTAGAGCAGCACTGGCTGATCCTCAGAGTGTGTGAAGTTGAGTTCTGACGCTCAGAGTTGGGTTTTATTAATTGAGAGGATGTTGATGAAGCCGTGCGGTTAATTAGCTCAGTGTGTGTCCTCATTATCAGCTGTGGAGAAACCCAGGAGAGAGACTTCACAACCACAGCACCGGTGTCTGTCTCACAAACACACACACACACACACACACACACACACACGCAGACTCTCTCTCTCTCTCTCCCATACATTGTTTCTACACTCACACAATACCAAATACTCATACATTATGCCAACTACACACAAAGCAACACATTTTCTTACCTACACACACACACCACACACACCGAATAATATGCAACAACCTCAAATTATTCTGTTAAATACCGAGGAATTACCTTGTAACGTTTCCTTAATAATTCTGGGTTGCCAGACAGTGTGTCACTGTCAAATAAGTCAAAAAAAAAATATATATATATATATATAGAGAGAGAGAGAGAGAGTTTGCATCTTCTCTCTTGATTTTTTTTATTTTTATTTTTTTTGGATTTTCGATTTTTCCATTTCTCGATTTAAAAAATCTCTATAATAAAAAACAATAAAAATAATGACTTTAAAAATCTTGAACGAAATCAAAGATATGACATAGTTCCAGAAACTTCCTACTGTTCTTCTGTTTATTCGTCTGACTTCTGTGGCTTTTCACACACATACACAAACTATCAATATACACTCTATTTCTTTTGCTCTCTCTCACACACACACACACACACACACACACAATGGTGAGGTCAGCACAGAGTCTGCTGGTCTGCTTGAGTCTGCATAGAGCTGCTCCTGCGTGCTCTCAGTGTGTCTGCCCTTAAAAGCTTTAACTCTATTACAGCGTCTCCAGATGAAGCAGCTCGTCACGTCTCCTACATTACGTCAGCATTCTACAACTTTATTTTCTTCAGTACCGTAAATATCTTCTGTCCAGACTCAGATCTCTAAAGTGCAGTGCTTTAAACCTCCCGTGAAGTGCTTTGAAGTGTGCGTTTGTTATTTAATGCTTGACGTGATCACAGCTGACACATGAAGAGAGGGCGAGGAGTAGTGTAGCTCCTCCCCCTTTAAAAAAACAGCCAATAGGGTTTTGTTTTTATCACCACTACTTGAGCTTAAGCAGATCAAATGTAGCATCTTGAAGGGGGCGGGGCAGGTCAGACACAAGAGAGCATTTGATTGGTGATAAATCCATTGATCCCTTTAGACCGGTGATGTCCACTCGGTCCTGGAGGTACCGAGTGGACTCTGTATTTAATACTCGGTCCCGGAGGGCTGGTGTCCTGCAGATTTTAGCTCCAACTTGCTTCAACACACCTGCAAGGATGTTTCTAGAAAGCCTAGTAAGAGCTTGATTAGCTAGCCCTGGTGTGTCTGATTGGGGTTGGAACTAAACTTTGCAGGACACGGGCCCTTCAGAACCAAGTCTGGACATCCCTGATTTAGGCAGAAGTGACAAACTACAAGCTTTATTTCAGTTTTATATCTTCTAAACGCTCATTTTGTCGCTGTTTTAGTGCGCACTAGCTTATAGATATCCTTGGAACTAACAATACTGATAGTAACGTCTTTAAAACTTTATTTTATTTTGATGGGACCTTTAAGCTGATGTTGCTGTGTGTTTTACAGAAGGGTTTGAGGACACTGGTGGTGGCCTGCAGGCACTTCAGTGCGGACGAGTACAGAGATGTGGACCGGCGGCTCCATGAGGCCCGGACGGCTCTTCAGCAGCGAGAGGAGAGACTGGTGGAGGTCTTCAACTTCATCGAAAGAGACCTGGAGCTGCTGGGGGCCACTGGGGTGGAGGACAAGTGAGTCAGACACACACGCACACATTCTGTCTTCTAGGTGTATTATGCAGGGTGTCCTTTTAAAATGTCTGAAAGTGCAAAAGCAAAATTTTAGGCCTTTACAAAAAACACCAAAAAAGCACCAAAAAAGTTTTGTGTTGTAGGTCTTAAATGTTTTTAAACAGATCTTAATTTTAAAAGTTGCTGAAGTTAAGTTACACAGGCTAACAACATCCAGTCAGTGCATAAATATATAAATATTACAGTTGAAGTCAGAATTATGAGCCCCCCTTTAAATGTTATTTTTTTCCTTTTTTTAAATATTTCCCAAATTATGTGTAACAGAGCAAGGAAATTTTCACAGTATGTCTGATAATATTTTTTCTTCTGGAGGAAGTCTTATTTGCTTTATTTCGGCTAGAATAAAAGCAGTTTTAATTTTTTAAAAAACATTTTAAGTTCAATATTATTAGCCCCTTTAGGCTATTTTTGATAGTCTACAGAACAAACCATCATTATACAATAACTTGCCTAATTACCCTAACCTGCCTAGTTACCCTAAATAACCTAGTTAAGCCTTTAAATGTCACTTTAAGCTGTGTAGAAGTGTCTTGAAGAATATCTAGTCTAATATTATTTACAGTCATCATGGCTAAGATAAAATAAATCAGTTATTAGAGATGAGTTATTAAAACTATTATGAGTAGAAATGTGTTGAGAAATCTGCTCTCTGATAAACAGAAAACGGGACTGTAGTAGGGGAGATCTGCTTCATTCTTGTCTGTCACTGTGCTGTGCAATACAGACAGATCTCTATGGCTCTGCTGACAGGGAGAATCTGCTTGTTAAGTGTGACGTCACGCGGAGCGGCTTCCGGGTCCAAGCACTCTATTCAACTGAATGGGGAGATTCATAAAATGGTAATAATAAACGTTTACAAAGCGATTTAATACTTTCGAAAGTCGCAATATATATGTCCATGCCTAATATCCGATGGCCAGAAAGTGATTCAGTGTTTTATTAATTGTTAAAATTTTGGTATTTGTTATGCAGCAAGCCCAGAGATTGTTGTGTACACTATGACTTTATATAAAATTAACTTTAATGTGTGATAGGAATAAAACGCGATCATAAACGAATGATTTCTCCACTCAAATGAATGGCGGCTTGGACCCGGAAACAGTATTACATACATCACAAAACACGTCACCACTTAACAAGCGGATTAGCTCATTTGCCTTAAAGGTACAGTCAACAAAAACAGCTAAAATGTCCTATATTCTAATGGGTATAATAAATAATCTGATGGGCAGGGTGCAGATGAAATCTGCAGAAGTTTTTTGCTATTTCTGCGGAGAATTTTGGTTAAAATCTGCAGATTTCTGCAGAATTATTTTGGGAGTATTATAACTAAAACTTTAATATGTCAAATAAAAAGAAATACATTTTAACTTTTATTTAATGTTTAAATTGCATATCCAATTAGATTCACTTTATTTGGTAAACAAAGCAAGCCTCTCATATAATATCTTTACTAAAAGTCAGAAAATATGACTTTACAAACTGCACTGTGCATAAATCAGATGAACATTTTCATATTAGTCACTAATATCACTTAATAAAAAAACTGAATGAATTTAGATTTACACACATCATTCAAGTAAATAAACTGAATTAATGATGGGCTAAAAATCTGCAGAAATCAGCGGAATTCTGCGCGCGCAGATTCTGTGTGGGCCTAGCGATGGGTGTTTTGAGCTGAAGCTGTACAGACACATTCTGGAGACACAAAAGACTAGTCTGAAATCTTGAAAAAGGGGTAAAATTAGGTGTCTTTTTAAAAACATTTCACAAATTTCTCAGCTTTTTATTAGGAGACATTTCAAAACTCATTTCTTTCAAGGATTTTTTTTTTTTTAATCGAATCTAGCCCCTGGACTGTTTTTCTTACGACAGCGGTGAAGAATCCAATCTTCCGAAGTGCACAACTCAACCTGTGAACATTAGTGCGCTTTCCACGTCCTATATATCAGAGTGAATGTCAAGCGAGCAGTAATGAGGGTGACTTCACACACGCACACACACCCATGCTGATTGGACAGCAGTGAGTCACTCTGTGTGTGTGTGCTGCTGCTAATAATGTTTGACGTGTCGCTTTGAATCACGTGACTCTCTGTGGACTGAAGATCTGCCATCAATCTCTGTCAGCATGCCAGCAGCAGCTCGACTCAAACCCGTGAAGGCATGCTGGGACACACAGACGTGACTGCGGTGATTCCCATGAGCATTTTGACAAGCAGTTATAACTATTATTCTAAAGAGACATACAATTTCTAGTCCCCAGTCGAGACAATGAGCATTTTTAGGAAACTTCTCATTGTTTAATACTTTGTTGATGCACTTTTGGCAGCGATTACAGCCTCAAGTCTTTTTGAATATGATGCCACTAGCTTGGCACGCCTGTCTTTGGGAATTTTTGCCCATTCCTCTTTGCAGTACCTCTCAAGATCTGTCAGGTTTGATGGGAAGCGACGGTATACAGCCACTTTCAGATCGCTCCAGAGATGCTTAATGGGATTTAGATCTGGACTCTGGCTGGGCCACTCAAGACCATTCATTGAGTTGTTGTGAAGCCACTCCATTAATATTTTGAGCCACTGGTCTACTACTGTCTGTCTGTCTGTAAATATCTATATCTAGCCCATATCAGCTTTGGTATCGGTACTAGTATTAAAATCAAGCCAGCATCAGTATCGGGCCAGTATGGGTGTAAGTACTGGTTTCAGAATTGAACTCGTATTGGTACTGGTATTGAGCCCATATTGGTATCAGTACTGGTCTCAAAATTGGGCCAGTATTGGTTTCAGAATTCCTATCAGGCACTGATATCGTGCCCATATCGATATCGGTAAAAGTATTGGTACTGGTATCAAAATTAAGCCAGTATCAGTACTGGATTCGGTATTGTTACTAGGTGCATGTATTGTACCCATACCGGTATCAGGACTGGCTTTGGTACTGGTATTGGTATCGAAATCTGGCCAGTATCGATATTAGTATTGGTTTCAGAATCAGTATTGGGCACTGGTATCGTGCCCTTTCGGTATCTGCAATAGTTTTGGTAGCCTACTGGTATCACAATCAGGTCAGTATCATTACTGATTTTGGTATCAGGTACTGGTATTGTGCCCATGTCGTTATCAATACTGGTACTGATACTATTATCGAAATTGGGCCAGTATCTGTATCAGTATTGGCTTTCTTTTTGGTATCGGCTACTAGTATCGTGCCCATATCTGTATTGGTACTGATTTTGGTACTGGTATCAAAATTGGGCCAGTATTGGTATCAGTATTGGTTTTAGAATTGGTATTGGGCACTGGTATTGTGCCCATATTGGTATCGGTAATTGTATTGGTAGCCTACTGGTATCGAAATCAGTACTGGTTTTGGTATCAGGTACTGGTTTTGTGCCCATATCGGTATTGATACTGGTATCGAAATCTGGCCTGTATAGGTATTGGGTCAGTATCGGTATCAGTATTGGTTTCAGTATCTGTATTGGGCACTGGTATTGTGCCCATATTGGTATCTGTAATTGTATTGGTGGCCTACTTGTATCGAAATCAGGCCAGTATCTGTATCAGGCTAGTATCATTGCTGGTTTTGGTGTCCGGTATTGTGCCCATATCGGTATCTGTACTGATTTTTACTGGTATTGAAATCAGGCCTGTATCGTAATTGGGCCAGTATCGGTTTCAGTATTGGTATCAGGTACTAGTATTGTGCCCATATTGGTATCGGTATTGTTACTGGTATCAAAATCTGGCCATTATTGGCATCAATACTGACAAATCCTTCATCAATATTTAAGTGTTGCTAAAAAATAACATATCGTATTACTTAGTCTAATTCATGTGACCTGTTAATGCAAAGAAAATAAAAGTTGTCATTGCTTTTTCAAATCAAAAGGTCTAAGATTTTGTGGGACTGATTTGATTAGGAAGATTTTCAATTCACCTTTTCAGTTTGCAGTTTCAACACAAGGGAACACATCTGTTGTGCAATTTACGGCAACACGCCTAATAATGTTTACATTGAACTGAACTGATTTTCTGTGTTTGTGTGTATGCAGGCTTCAGGATAAGGTCCAGGAGACAATTGAAGCTCTGCGATTGGCTGGAATCAAAGTGTGGGTGTTGACAGGAGACAAGCACGAGACGGCGGTCAGCGTGAGCCTCTCCTGTGGTCATTTCCATCGCACCATGAACATCCTGGAGCTCGTGCAGCAGAAATCAGACAACGAGTGCGCAGAGCAGCTCCGCAGGCTGGCCCGGAGGTACACAGATTCACACATCATTCAAGTGTATTTTTTTTACTCAGCAGTGGTCTGACAGTGACGCTATTTGAGTTAAGATGCACTCAAAATAAATACAATTCTGGGGCAAATACTGGTGGCACGGTAGCTCAGTGGTTAACACTGTAGCCTTGCAGCAAGAAGGTTGCTGGTTCGACGTCGGCTGGGTCAGTTGGTATTTCAGTGTGGAGTTTCCATGTTCTCCCCGCGTTCACGTGGATTTCCTCCAGGTGCTTTGGTTTCCCCTACACTGGGTAGGCTATATTGTCCGTAGTGTATGTGTGTTAATAGGAGTGTATGGATGTTTCCCAGGGATGGGTTGCAGCTGGAAGGGCATCCACTGCGTAAAACATATGCTGGATAAGCTGGTTGGGTTTTTTTTTCGCTGTGGCGACCCCAGATTAATAAAGGGGCTAAGCCTTAAAGAAAGTGAATGAATGAATGAGCATATCTGTCTTGGCCATCTTTATTAATTCTGGGTGACTCATGTTACCCCAAGGGTCACCAGTTTTTCATTAAAATAAGCAAAATAAACTGCCAATAGGGTAAGCAATATAATTAGATTTTTGCTTTGAAGTAAGATAATTTTAATTACCATACTGGCAGATTATTTTGCTTGTTTTAAGGAAAAACTCACTTAATTTTGACTTATTATTTCTGAAAAAAAATTATTCATGTTTTATTAAATTTGTAATAAGGGCTTGACATTAACACCCGCCATCCCGCCAAATGCGGGTAGATTTCAGCGGTGGCAGGTTAGACAGACACCATCACTAGCCACTTTGGCTGGTTGAAAATCATTTTCCCTGGATAATAATTCTTAAAAGCAGGGTTCGACAATAAGGATGGTCCAATATGCATGCAAAGGTGATCTTAGAATTGAGAAGCGACACGACATAATTGCATTTGCGCACGCAATAGAAAGCAGATGAAAACCAAATTAGAGGATAATTACTCGCGCTAACAGCTGAGGTGATGCGCACGACTGTTTAAAACGCGTATGCGCTCCTGTTTCCTTGCGTGAAGCAACTGTGCCTAGAAACACAACTGATGTGATAGGTTCTCTTTCAAATAGACTAGACAAATGAACATGCATCCACAGTCTTGCTGCTTTCAAGAGCTCCAGATTTTTCTTTTTGTAAGCAGCACAGGTTGCTTCTAAGGGTGTCACGATCCTCCAAATCCTCGATTCGATTACATTTTCAATTCTAAAGGCACGATTCGATTTTCGATTATGAATAATTTATTAATTAATGACGAATTAATTATTTGTAGCCTACCGTTTAAACTACCTGACCTGGATGGTCTTTGTTTTACCCATAAACAAATCATACAGTAAATAAATAAAGGCAAGATACACACATAATTACCACCTGTCAATCACTTTTTCTGCGGGACTCGTGAATAGGCAGTGATCTGTGTCGTTATAATGGCGTCGGTAAAAAAGACGCACAGCCAACAGTATCTGAGGTGTTCGCTAAAATGACTAAGTACAAGTGAGTGAAAGATTGAAGCAGTCCTCTGACTGCCTGGACCTGCTGTCTCGAGCGCATGGCTGTGTGTGCGTCTGTGTCTGTGTGGTCACGTGATGTGCATTTTCAGAGGTAGAGAGGAAGGAGGGCTGCTTAGTAATGCTACACGCCACTGTGGATGTCAAATCGTTGTCGTTCTAAAATGCCATTTAAAAACAAATACAGTGTAAACAGGGCCTGAGTGTGAACTTTTAGCGAGCGGATTTGCAACGGGGGCGGGCGGACGATCGCGATGCCGGTGTTGTCTATCGGACGAACCGTACGTTTTTTTTGTCGACAACACGAACGTTGTCAACATAACTTACTGGAAATCCAAAATTCTTACACACCGGCGACTTCATTGAAAGAGGAGAGGGTTTAAGCTCTGTCGACGGGTCTCCTGCTTCTGCAGTTTAACAACACTTCAACAAGCCTGTTTTTTTCCCGCTTGGCAAGCCAAGCTGACGTGACATGGGGGCGTGGCAGCATCGACGATTCTATTTTTTGATTCGATAATCGAAATTGAGCATAAATTTTGATCGATTTCGATTAAAAATCGAAATTGTGACACCCCTAGTTGCTTCGCGTTAGCTTTTCTTTCAAGGGATTATTTATGAGTCTAACTTTAACCGTGTGTGTGATATCATCCTTTCATTATCACTCACGGTATGTTTTTTTACCTGCTTTCTTTTGCGTTAACATGGTTTAATTATCATTTTTTACAATAATATTGCTTTAATATGGGAGATTAACTCACTATTTATGTGTAGTTAACTGGTGATCTTTAGCCTGGACTGATTACTGTGCACATGTTTTGTTAAATAAAAAGTTTAGTATACAGCTGTATTTTGCTTGTTTTGACATATTTTAAATTTGTGGCTTAGAAAAACTTGATTGTTTATGGTTAGTGTGGTCAGGGATACATTTGGTAAATCCTTCATTTTGAGCTCTGAAAAGTCATCTGAAATAAAAACCAATTGTTATACTATGAAACCACGACCCATTTGCTTATGATGATTGAGCTCATACACAACACAAAAAGTGAAATGAATGCTTGTGGAGATAACGCAAAATCTAAATCAAGTCATTTTAGCATCTCCAAGTCATATTTATGTGTATAAAATATATTTTCCCAACAAGAAAAGTGGCTAGTGAAAATGGCGAGTGGCTAGTAATGTTGGGAAACTACTAACCACAGTGGCTGGCGGTCAAAAAAGTTAATGTCAGGCTCTAACTATAATATATAGTCCAAATAAAATGCCGATATGATGTCTGCGAGTAGTTCAGTGGTGTGTTTGCGATGGGTGTGATGGTGTTTGTGTGCTTGTCCAGCATTAAAGAGGATCATATAGTGATGAAATCCCAAAAATGGCGATCACTGAGCAAGCGGAGACGAATACACCCCAAAAAAACTGATTTCGTTTTAGAAATGGTGTCTCAAAAGCCGCTAAGCTCTACACCAGAGCAAAGCATATGAGTGTCTGGGATTTACAGCGATTACAGGCAGGATCTATATGCTGAAAGTGCTTTGAGGAGTTCAGTGTTGTGTTTGCGGATGGCTGTGATGCTGTTTTGTGTTTGTCCAGGATTAAAGAGGATCATGTGATCCAGCATGGGCTGGTGGTGGACGGGGCCAGTCTGTCTCTGGCTCTGCGGGAGCATGAGAAACTCTTCATGGAGGTGTGTAAGAACTGCTCGGCGGTGCTCTGCTGCAGGATGGCACCTCTCCAGAAAGCCAAGGTGAGCTCGCTGACCCTTCCTCATGTCCACATCACACTCTATCCCCCAGAGGCCATGCTCAATACTCAGTGTTAACCCTTGTGTACTGATCAAGATGACTACCCTTTCATTATGTTCAGGGCTGTTTTTGCCCCATTGACCTCCATTATAATCACATTTATGAATTGCAAAGACGTGAAAGCAAAGAATTATGCGCTCGGCTTGTGTGCACAAGAGGCGTGACGCGCTCGCGCCTTCCAGACACACCCAGTTAAATGAATTCCACGAGCGCATCGTGAGCCACTGGACAAGATCTGACCCATCTGCTTTAGCTAGTATGGAATATACACGTTTGGTTGATTAAGCATTGTTTGCGGTGCCTCATTCAGGCAAATCGTATTAATCGTGGTGCCTCATTCATGCAATTTGCATCATTTGCGGTGCCTCATTCACAAGAATTGCATCAGTCCCGGCGCCTCATACACACGAAATGCATCATTCGCGCTGCTTCATTCACGTGAATCACATTGTTTGTGCCGCCTCATTCAAACAAATCACATCGTTCGCACTACCTCATTTGCGCGAATTGCGTCATTTGCGCAGCCTTATTCATGCGAATTGCATCATTTGCGCAGCTTTATTCATGCGAATTGCATCATTTGCGCAGCCTTATTCATGCGAATTGCATCATTTGCGCAGCCTTATTCATGCGAATTGCATCATTTGCGCCGCCTTATTCATGCGAATTGCATCATTTGCGCCACCTTATTCATGAGAATTGCATAATTTGCGCCGCCTTATTCATGCGAATTGCATCATTTGCGCCGCCTTATTCATGCGAATTGCATCATTTGCGCTGCCTTATTCATGAAAATTGCATCATTTGCGCAGCCTTATTCATGCGAATTGCATCATTTGCGCCACCTTATTCATGAGAATTGCATAATTTGCGCCGCCTTATTCATGCGAATTGCATCATTTGCGCCGCCTTATTCATGCGAATTGCATCATTTGCGCTGCCTTATTCATGAAAATTGCATCATTTGCGCAGCCTTATTCATGCGAATTGCATCATTTGCGCCGCCTTATTCATGCGAATTGCATCATTTGCGCCGCCTTATTCATGCGAATTGCATCATTTGCGCCGCCTTATTCATGCGAATTGCATCATTTGCGCCGCCTTATTCATGCGAATTGCATCATTTGCGCCATCTTATTCATGCGAATTGCATTATTTGCGCCGTCTTATTTATACGAATTGCATCATTTGCGCCGTCTTATTCATACGAATTGCATCATTTGCGCCGTCTTATTCATGCGAATTGCATCATTTGCGCCGCCTTATTCATACGAATTGCATCATTTGCGCCGTCTTATTCATGCGAATTGCATCATTTGCGCCGTCTTATTCATGCGAATTGCATCATTTGCGCCGTCTTATTCACGCGAATTGCATTATTCGCACCGCCTTGATCACACGAATCTTGCTGCCTCATTTAAGCAAATCGCATCAATCGCGCAGACTCATTCATGCGAATCGCATCAATCGTTCTGCTGCATTTATACAAACCGCATCATTCTCGCCAATTCACGCGAGTCGAATCTTTTGCGCGGCCTCATTCATGCTGCGTCATTTACGTCAATCGCGTAAATCATGCCGCCTCATTTATGCCAATTGCATCATTCTCGATGTTTCACACGAATCGCATCTTTTGCTCCACCTCATTCACGCTAATTGCGTCATTCACACCGCTTCATTCACAAAAATCGCATAGTTCGCACCGCCTCAACCATGCGAATCGAATCTTTGCGCCACCTCATTTACGCGAATTGCATTATTCTTACTGGCTTATTCACGCAAATCGTATCATTCACGATGCTTCATTCTCACGAATCGCATCAATCGCGCCGCCTCATTCACGGGAATCGCATCTTTTGCGCCACCTTATTCACGCAAATCGCGTATTTTGCGGCAACTCATTTACGTGAATCACTTTATTCTTACTGGCTTATTGACGCAAATCATATCGTTCACGTTGCCTCATTCTCATGAACCACATCAATCGCGCCGCCTCATTCACGTGAATTTCATGTTTTGCTCTGCCTCATTCATGCGAATTGCATCTTTTGCACCGCCTCCTTCACACAAATCGCATAATTTGCGCTGCGTCATTCACAATGGTGCCGCCTCGTTCATGCGAATCGCATCATCAATCGCCGCCTCATTCACACATCACATTGTTCACGCCGCCTAATTCACGCGAATCGCATCATTCGCGCATTTTCATTCCCACAAATCGCATTGTTCACGCCACCTAATTCACGCGAATCGCATTATTCACGCCGCCTCATTCCCACATATCGCATTGTTCACCCCGCTTAATTTACATGGATCGCACCATTTGCACCACTTTATTCACGTGACTCACATCAATCGTGTCGCCTGATTGACGCAAATCACATCAGTTGCACCGCCTCATTCTTCCGCATCTGGTGTGAACACACCAATACACACACACACACACACACACACACTATACTCCATATATAAGCCAGAAACGAAGCTTTTTCATTGCACTGCAACTGATGATCAACAGGAAAATAACAAATTTAACCTGTTCCCAAATCTTCAAAGTATTTTCCCAAAATGTGTGTAAAAATAAGATTTGTCTCCAAAAGTCATTCCATTTGCTGAAACACAGAGAAAGTTGTGACCTCAAACTCGCCCCGGAGCAGATGAAAACATCCCGAACAGCACTCAAACTGCCCCAACACTGGCCTGTTGTTTTCATAGCGCTGGTGTTAATGGCTCCTGTGTGTTTGGCAGGTGGTGCGACTGTTGAAAACATCCCCAGAGAAGCCCATCACATTAGCCATTGGTGACGGAGCCAATGACGTCAGCATGATCCAAGAGGCTCACGTTGGTATTGGTAGGTGCCACACTCTCAAAGGGGCTGATTGAGGTTATTTAAATTAAGAGAAATCTTTTAGTGTTGGATGATATCTTGAGCATATCTGTGCAGTAATAATTCAGGGTGTTCGCAGATCCTTAAAAAGACTTGAAATGTCCCGTCTGTGCAGGAATCATGGGAAAAGAAGGAAGGCAAGCCGTGCGAAACAGCGACTATGCAATCGCGAGGTTTAAATTCCTCGCCAAATTGCTGCTTGTGCACGGCCATTTCTACTACATTAGAATAGCAACCCTCGTGCAATACTTTTTCTACAAGGTACGTGTTCTCAGATTGAGAGATGTGTTGTGTTGTGTTTATGAGCTGGCTGTGTTTATAATGCTCTCTGGGTTTTTCTTCTGCAGAATGTGTGCTTTATCACTCCCCAGTTTTTATACCAGTTCTTCTGTCTGTTCTCTCAGCAAGTAAGTGTCTCCTGATGCTACGGTTTTTGTTGATACAGGATATTTTTTAAAGGAATACTGCGGCCAAAAATGAAAATAATTCAACCTTTATTGGGTGGGTTTTCTTTTGTTGAACACAAAAGAGGATATTTTGAAGAATGTTGGGTGCTGGCACCCATTGACATCCATAGTAAATGATAATTACCTCATTGTTTATTGGTTTTAAACCTTTATGGGGTCTTTTTCTCTTCTATTTAACATAAAAAGAAGATATTTTGAAGAATGTTGGTGGCTGGCAGCCATCGACTTCCATAGTAAAATGAAAATTACTACATTGTTTATTAGTTTTAAGTCTTTATAGGGTTTTTTTTTCTCTTCTGTTGAACACAAAAGAGGATATTTTGCAGAATGTTGGGTGCTGGCACCCATTGACTTCCATAGTAAATGATAATAACCTCATTGTTTATTGGTTTTAAACCTTTATGAGTAATTTTTTTTCTTTATTGAACAAAAAAAGAAGAAGATATTTTGAAGAATGTTGGTTGCTAGCACCTATTGACTTACACAGAAGACTTTCATAGTAAATGAAAATTACCTCATTGTTTATTGGTTTTAAACCTTTATGGGGTCTTTTTCTCTTATATTTAACACAAAAGAAGATATTTTGAAGAATGTTGGTTGCTGGCAGCCAACGACTTCCATAGTAAAATGAGAATTACTACATTGTTTATTAGTTTTAAGTCTTTATAGGTTTTTTTTTTCTTTTCTGTTGAACACAAAAGAGGATATTTTGAAGAATGTTGGTTGCTGGCACCCATTGACTTCCATAGTAAAATGATAATTACCTCATTGTTTATTGGTTTTACTGTATACCTTTATGAGTTTATTTTTACTTCCATTGAACACAAAAGGAGATATTTTGAAGAATGTTGGTTGCTGGCACCCATTGACTTCCATAGTAAAATGATAATTACCTCATTGTTTATTGGTTTTATTCCTTTATGAGTTTATTTTTACTTCTATTGAACACAAAAGGAGATATTTTAAAAAAATGTTGGTTGTTGGCACCCATCGACTTCCATAGCAAATGATAATTACCTCATCATCTATTGATTTTAAACCCTCATGGGTATTTTTTTTTCTTTTATTAAACACAAAAGAAGATATTTTGAAGAATGTTGGTGTCTGGCACTCATCTACTTCCATAGTAAATGTTAATTACCCTATTGTTTATTGGTTTTATCCCTTCGAGAATTAATTTTCTCTTCTATTGAACACAAAAGAAGATATTTTGAAGAATGCTGGTTGCTGGCACCATCGACTTCCATAGTAGACTTCCATGGTAAAATAATAATTACCTCATTGTTTATTGGTTTCATACCTTCACAGGTTTATTTTTCCTTGTATTAAACAAAAAAGAAGATAATTTGAAGAATGTTTGTTGCTGGCATTTATTGACTTCCATAGTAAAATGATAACCTCATTGTTTATTGGTTTTATACCTTCATGGGTTTATTTTTACTTCTATAGAACACAAAAGAAGATATTTTGAAGAATGTTGAATGCTGGCACCCATTGACTTCCATAGTGAAATGACAATTACCTCATTATTTATTGGTTTTATACCTTTATGTTTTTTTTTTCCTTATGTTGAACACAAAAGGGGATATTTTGAAGAATGTTGGTTGCTGGCACCCATTAACTTCTATAGTAAAATGATAATAACCTCATTGTTTATTGGTTTTAATTCTTTATAAGTTATTTTCTTTTCCTTCTGTTGAACAGAAAGGGAGACTGTTGGTTGCTGGCACTCTTTGATTTCCGCAGTGCTTTCTCTCCACATGAACAGTGTGATTTTTCTCAGTTTTTATTGCAGATGTTTGACATGCTCTCTTGTGCTCGACAGACTCTCTATGACAGCGTGTATCTGACGCTGTATAATATCTGCTTCACCTCTCTGCCCATACTGGTGTACAGTCTGTTTGAGCAGCTGGTGCATCCTCACGTTCTGCAGAGCAAACCAGCACTTTACAGGTAAAAAGCCCACGACCAGCGCTTCAACATGCTACAGATGACTGTCACACACACACACATCTATGACAATTAGGGCTGCTCGATTATGGGGAACAATCATAATCGCGATTATTTTGGTCATAATTGTAATCATGACGCTATCGTTATTCAAATCAATATACAGATGAAGTCCGAATTATTAGCCCCCCCCCCCCCCCCCTTGATTTAAGTATTTAGCTCTTTCTATTGGCCCCTTAATACACTCAAACGTCAAATGGTACATTATTGAAATAAATGAATAATACAGCGGTAGAGCGACCATCACACACTTCTCCTCGGAGCTCGCTGAACTGAACTGAGCTCCCATACATGCGTGCTTACATCTCAAAGGTAAAACAACCACAGGAATAGTCCTCTTAAAGCGGACATTTATACACAATGCATATCAAACATTAAGCGACCGTTACAATATCACAATAATTAACCTAGAAAAAAAACAGCGCAATCACTAACTTACCAGACTGCTGTTGTGTTTGCAAAAAGGAGGGACGAGGCTGAATTCATCTTCTTATTCGCAGCTTCTTATTGACTCATCCGGTCCACCTTAAAAACTGTGACGCTTCCGTTTTTCAGCTTCTTATTCGCGCTTAGTAAAACACACTAAGCAAGGGCTTATTATGCGGTCCTGGCGCCATCTTGTGGATGGACAACGTTCAACCGCCTTTGGTCGCCGACGAGCTCTCAGAAATTGTAAATATTTTAAAATAGGCACTATTCTTGCAAATAAACTGCATAGTTGCAATCTAAACAACTACATTCTAGACTAAAAAAGCCTCAAAAGTACATTTGTTGTCTGACAACAGTAATATTTGTCAAACTGTAGCGCCTCTGCTTGTAAATGGCTGTATGTGAGCGGAGTAATACACAGAGATGAAGGGCGAAGAGGCCTTTGTGTGATGTAACTAGCAAAATATTGCACGGCTATCAGCCAATCAGATTCAAGAACCAGAAAGAACTGTTGTGTGTTTGCGTGTGTGTGTGTGTGTGTGTATATATATATATATATATATGCTCTTTCCGTTCTTCAGAGACATCAGTAAAAATTCCCTGCTCTCCTTCAAAACCTTTTTGTATTGGACCGTCCTGGGCTTCTGCCATGCCTTCGTCTTCTTCTTCGGGTCCTACATCCTGATGGGAGAAGACACCACGCTGATGGGAAACGGACAGGTCTGAATCTCACACTTCCTTTCTTCTCTTTATCTGCTCTTTCTTTCCTGTTCTGTCGTTCAGGCTCATGTTTTTGTGTGTGTGTTTTGTGGCAGGGTCTTATTTTGCTAGCATGACCGTCTTTTGATATCCTCATAACAGGAGGAGGAATATATATGCCAAATACTGCCGTCTTGTGTTGTTTATTGTGAAAAATTCTATCTGGATAACTATCTCTAATCTGGATCTAGTCTAGTTTTCAGGTAAAGTGCAGACAATTGTGACAAAGTGTTTTGATTTTAGTTACTTAAACAAATTGATTTTGCACTGGAGGTGTGTGGAACAGTATAATCACAATTCTGTTGAACAGAGTAGGAGTTAACAGATATATTCATGATATACGCTATCTGACCAAAGTCTTGTCGCCCATCCAAGATTTAGGAATGGCAAATAATAACTTGACTTCTAGTTGATCGTTTGGTATCAGAAGTGGCCTCTAGATTTTGCTTATTTGAGCACAATAAAATGTGATCATGCCTTGATTATTAATGATTTCTTTAGGACAGTAAGGTCTGGTGCTAAGAAAACGTAAAATTGCGGCTGTTAAATTACAGAAATTAACTGTAAAATAAAATATGTTGAATAATAGAAATTTATCAGAAATGTAAGTATATTTCTGTAATTTAATATCTGTTATTTTACAGTATATTTCTGTAATTTAATATCCGTTATTTTACAGTAAATTTCTGTAATTTAATATCCGTTATTTTACAGTAAATTTCTGCAATTTAATATCCGTTATTTTACAGTAAATTTCTGTAATTTAATATCCGTTATTTTACAGTAAATTTCTGTAATTTAATATCCGTTACTTTACAGTAAATTTCTGCAATTTAATATCCGTTATTTTACAGTAAATTTCTGTAATTTAATATCCGTTATTTTACTGTAAATTTCTGCAATTTAATATCCGTTATTTTACTGTAAATTTCTGTAATTTAATATCCGTTACTTTACAGTAAATTTCTGTAATTTAATATCAGTTATTTTACAGTAAATTTCTGTAATTTAATATCCGTTATTTTACAGTAAATTTCTGTAATTTAATATCAGTTATTTTACAGTAAATTTCTGTAATTTAATATCCGTTATTTTACAGTAAATTTCTGTAATTTAATATCTGTTATTTTACAGTAAATTTCTGTAATTTAATATCTGTTATTTTACAGTAAATTTCTGCAATTTAATATCAGTTATTTTACAGTAAATTTCTGTAATTTAATATCCGTTATTTTACAGTAAATTTCTGTAATTTAATATCTGTTATTTTACAGTAAATTTCTGTAATTTAATATCCGTTATTTTACAGTAAATTTCTGTAATTTAATATCTGTTATTTTACAGTAAATTATACTTTACGAGTAAGTTATTTTACTCTTTTTTTTTTTTTTTTTTATCATCCAGCCCTATTTGAGAGTTTATTTGGCGGTCAAGATATATTCAGCCATACCGCCCAGCCTCCAGATTTTTCGTATAGATCTCAGAAATGCAATCTAAATAATTCAGCCAGAAGCGCTTAAGATAATGAATGCACTTAGACGTTAATAACCGTGACTTAGTCTTAGTGACTATTGATTTGCTCCAGGTTACAGACACACAGCATCAATCCTCCAACTAATTACAGCGTTATCTGGCACTTTGTACCGTTTGGTTAGGTGTCAGTGAATGTCGGCTTTTACTACTTATCCATATTCTCTCTCTTTTTTTCTTGCTTCTCTCTTTCTCTTCCTGCTCTGCATGCTCTCAGATTTTGCGAGCTAACAGGCAACTGGTAAGCGTTGAGTGTGTTCCAGTTGATGCATGCGTGTTCGTAATGAGCAGCTGTCTTTATGAAGGAGTTTTAGCACTCGCTGCATGAGTGGCTCCGATCTCCATGCTTTTGATTCTGTGCCATGCTCAATTAGGAGGGTGAGTTTGGGCACGGTTTGGAACAGCTTCCCTCGCTCACGTTTCTGCATCACTGTAAATCATGGAGCCAGATCAGTCTCAGAAATGATATATTTACAAAACTCAGTTCACAAATTCGAAATGCAATTTGTAAATATACAAATCTAATTTGTTAACCCGAAACACAATTCATAAATACATAAAACACTATTTGTAAATTCAAAACATAGTTTATAAATATGCAAATCTAATTCTTTAAACGAAAAACACAGTTCATAAATAGGCAAACCCAATTCGTATACAGTATATTCAAAGTAGAACTCATAAATATGTAAATCCAATTTATAAATTTGAAACACAATTCATAAATACATAAAACACAACTTGTTCATTCAAAACACAATTTGTAAATTCGAACCAGTTAATAAATACACAAAACATTTGTAAACTCAAAACACAATTCGTAAATATGCAATCCAATTTGTAAACTCAAAACAGTTAATAAATAAACAAAACAATTTGTAAATTCAAAGTACAGTTTATAAATATGTAAATCCAATTTAAAAATTCAAAACACAATTCATAAATACATAAAACACAATTTAATTCAAAACAATTAACAAATACTAAAAAAACACAATTCGTTAATTTCAAAACACAATTCATAAATATGCTAATCTAATTCGTAAACTCAAATCACAGTTCATAAATGATCAAATAAAATTCTTCAATTCAAAACACGCTACATAAATACGCAAAACAAATTGTAAATTCAAAACACAGTTCATATATACACAAAACAAGTCGTAAATTTAAAACACAATTCATAAATGCGCAAATCCAATTAGTAAACTCAAAGTACAGTCCATAAATATGTAAATCCAATTTATAAATTTAAAACACAATTCAGAAATACGCAAATTCAATTCATAAATTAAAAATAAAGTTTAGAAATATGTAAATCAAATTCATCAATTCAAAAAACATTTCATGAATGCATAAAACACAATTCGTAAATTTAAAACAGTTTGTGAATTCAAAACACAATTCATGAATTTAAAACACAATTTGTAAATTCAAATCACAATTCGTAAATTCAAAACACAATTCGTGAATTCAAAACAGTTTGTGAATTCAAACACAATTCGTAAATTCCTAACATTTCATAAATTTCTAAAATCCTGTTCCTAAATCCAAAACACATTTTGTGAATTCAATTTATCTTTGCTAATGTATTAGTTTTGAGACTAATCTGGCTCCATAGAAAAGGCTTCCGACAGTTTGGTATAAAACCATCGAGCAATGATCATGACTGCTGCTGTTTTATTTGGATGAATTGAAAGCTTCGTGATGATGAGCCACTCATGCAGCATGTTAAAGAGGCCATGTGATGATGTGTTTGTTACCTTTTATTAAATTGGTTTAAGGAAATGTGTAAAGCTGTAAATATAAGCTCCTCCTTCCCAGACATTCGGAGACATGCATTGTAATAGGTCAAACATCTTAATTGTTTGTTTAAAGTGTAACTGTTATTTTTATAGGAGCCATTTTGCTTCTAAAGCATTTGCAAACAAATATGTGTGTGTGTGTGTGTGTCTATATATATATATATATATATATATATATATATATATATATATATATATATATATATATATATATATATATATATAAACATTTATATCAATATTAGAAATGTTTATACTTTGTCTTTTGTCGTAATATCTGTGTATCTAGCTTTATGCTAATATTTAAAGGTTTTATGTAGGCATCTGATTAAGTTATGTATGCTTTAGGATTAACATTATATTAATATTTAGCATTATGACGTACACATACAGAAATAATAACTGCCTTTGGATTAGCATTGTGCTAGTATTTTAAATTGTTACAGACGTTGATGTTTGTTTAACAACAATACTAGATTAACATGATAACTGATATAAGAGTAGGTTAGCATAATGCTAATATTTAAAATTGGAATGTAGACGTTTAAGGAAGTAATATATGTCTTTACTCTGACACAGATGTTTACAGAAATAATGTCTGCCTGTAGATTAGCATTATGCCAACATTTCAAACTGTGACGCAGATGTTTACAGAAGTAATATCTGCCTGTAGATTAGCATAATGCTAATATTTCAAACTGTGGCGCAAATGTTTACAGAAGTAAGATCGGTTTGTGGATTAGCATTATGCTAACATTTAAAATCTTGCAGTAGACATCTGTGGAAGTAATATCTGCTTTAGATTAGCATTTTGCTAACATTTTAAACTGTGACGCAGATGTTTACAGAAGTAATATCTGCCTGTAGATTAGCAGTATGCTAATATTTCAAACTGTAATGCAGATGCTTACATTAGAAACATCTGCCTTTGTATTAGCATTATGCTAACTTATGCTAACTTACTTTCTTGGAATATATTAAAAATATATAAAATTGTACTGAAATGAGACTTCTTAAAGTTTGAAAGTTTAATTTGTAAGTCACACTTAAGCAAAACCACAACGCATCATCTGCCCTCCTTAACAAAGCAAAGAGCTGAACTGAGCTGAAAACTGGAGACTGTCATTAAGATCTGTGTCTTCTTTGCAGATGTTTGGAAACTGGACGTTTGGCACTTTAGTATTCACTGTGATGGTTATTACGGTAACACTGAAGGTACGTTCACACACAGATGCTGCATGTTTGAGTGTGTGTGAGTGAGCCGTGAGCTTCACCTGTGTGTGTTTTCTGCACAGCTGGCCTTAGAGACACACTTCTGGACGTGGATGAATCACTTCGTCACGTGGGGCTCCATCGCCTTCTACTTCATCTTCTCCCTGTTTTACGGCGGCATCATCTGGTACTGTATCGCACGTGATAAAACCATAATGACACCTGCAGGAAAACAAGCTTCAGTGTTTCCCCTTAGCTGTTCAGAATCACTCTGACACCAGGAGTCCTGGGGCCTCATGTATCAACGCTGCGTACACACAAAAACTTTGCGTACGCCAGGTTTCACGCTCAGAATCGCTCACGTTTGGATTTACTAACAATGAACTGAACGTGGGAATGTGCGCAGCTTCACGGCAGCTTCTGGCAGGCGTATGCACATTTTTTGTGCGTGTGTGTTTTATTTCCATTGGCGACTCCTAGAGGCAGTTGTGTTAAATTCTTCTCTACAAAGTGTCTGAGCCTTGCAATGGCAGCTGTATGAGACGGGTTCATCTAGCAGGTATATAAGGTTTCCATACCATACATTTGACCAGCTAAACATTAAAGCGCAATTTGCAGTGGTCGCCTGTTTTCCCAATGTAATCTGAGCGATCTACTGCACGCACATTGCTATAAAGACACTATCTGAAGATGAATTTGCATGCATGAATCAGAAACATTTCCATTCAATAAATGTGCAAATAAAATATGATGCACAAACTTATTAATGATTCCTACTTGTCTTTCTCGTGATAAATAGTAGGCAAAATCTGATATGTAGTGGGGGAATAAAGAAAAAGGAGTTTATCAGACGCTGGATTCGAACCGCGTTCAAGCTCGAACGTTTTGAGCGGCGCCACTGAGACTGTTGTGGGTATTGCAACATTTTACACCTATAAATGACACTATTTCGTTTTAATTCATTCAGTGCGATGTTCAGACCCAACTGTGTTAACCGCATTAGCTAAACTCTCTATTTTTTTCTTTTGTTGTTATTTCCGGAGAACAAACTTGCAAATAACACTGTTTTCCTCCGGTCTACCTCCGAAAGCAGCACCTCCAAATCACATTCTGTTCAAAGTGTCTCTTTTTGCTTGCTTTTGCCGTTGCTTTTTCGTTAGGTTTTCCATTAGCATAGTCATTAGCATATTCATACGGGGGAGGAGGCAGGGAGGGGTTTTGCGCTCGTGCATGTTGCGCTCAGTTTCACGTTCATTCAGATGTACAAAAGAATATGTGTGGGATTCGGCGTACGCAGTGTTTCATACATCTGAAATTTTTTCTGCGTACGCACATTTACAGCTTTGTGCGTACGCAATGTTTTAGTAAGATTTCCACGCAAGTCTTCGTACATGAGGCCCCTGGTCTTTTAATGACAGCAGTAAATAACTGAGCAGCTATTTGAACTGTAAATTGTAAATGAACATTTATTTTAGATCTCTTTAATTCAATTCAATTCAGCTTTATTTGTATAGCGCTTTTCCAATGTAGATTGTGTCATTAAATGGTCATAGTAACTGGATCAGGGTAGTTCAGTATTAAGTGTTTAAGTTCATTTCAGTTTAGCTCAGTTCAGTGTGGTTTAAAGCCATTGCTGAAAGTTCAAACACTGAAGAGCAAATTCATCGATGCGTAGCTCTACCAATCCTGAACCATGCAAGCCAGTGGCGACAGCGGAGAGGGAAAAAAAACTTCACTGATAGGAGAGTAAAGAAAAAAAAAACCTTGAGAGAAACCAGACTCAGTTTGGCACGACCATTTTAATTTCTCCACTGGCCAAAAGTCTTGTGCAGAGCTGCAGTCTCAGCAGTGGAGGCTGGAAGCTGGCTTCAGCGAAGACTCGTCTGTCCCTGGAATCAGTCTCATGCTCTCCCCCATGACCACCAGTGCAGCAGCAGCTCAGGATACGGCCTGGTCCCGGATATGGAGACCTTGGGTTTTATTCACAAACTGTGCAGCTTTTGTCACTGCACTGTATCTTTATGGGCTTCTGGAAGAACATTTCCTGAGCCTCCTGGTATGCAAAGTCAAAAATGTCTGGCCCATTTATTAAAACTTTTTAGGGTGCTTTCACACCTAGACTTTTGTTTCAGAGCCTGTCTCGTTTGCCCAGTTAGCGCGGTTCGTTTAGCATATGTGAAACCACCAATCGCACTCGGATCTGCGCCAAAACAATCGCTCCAAGATCGCTTGAATGAGGTAGTCTCTGCTCGATTGAAACAAACTCTGGAGCGGATTGATTGTAGAGAGAAAGCGATAAGATCCGAGCGTGGTTATATCACAGTGATTTATGTATATGTAATAAGCATACGGCTATATGAAGAGAGACTTGAGTGGGGCGGGAGGTCATTCAACAGACATCCCAAGTCTCCCGGAAGATTCGGGAGTCTCCCACAAATGCACAGAGACTTTAGAACACCCGCAAACGAGCGATAATCTCGGAAATCACGCGTCTCCCTCCCGGTCCTCAAATAAACGTCGTAGATCATATGTCTGGAAGAAATCTGTTTTTGCAGATGTTCTAATTGCTAGTTTTCCTTGCTGCTTCATTAAATTACAACCCCTAAATATGTGGTTACAGGCTTGCAAAAATAACATTCAGTTTGATGATATACAGCAGGGGAAATAAGTATTGAACACGTCACCATTTCTCAGAAAACACATTTCTAAAAGTGCTGTTGACTTGAAATGTTCACCAGATGTTGGTAGCAACCAAAGAAATCCATATATGCAAAGAAAACAAACTTAATTAGCTTACAAAGGAAGTTCGATGTACTAAAATGAAATGACACAAGAAAAAAGTATTGAACATATGAAGAAATGAAGGTGTGGCAAAACAGTGAAAGCCCAGACAGCAGCTGAAATCTCCCTGTAGTTCTTCAGCAACCCTCTGCCCTTCCTCAGTGTAAATGAACATCAGCTGCTTCATGAACATCTACATTAGCAGGAGGATGAAGATGAACCCAGGGTGGACATTTCAGCAAGACAATGATCCAAAACACAGCCAGGGAAACTCTCAAATGCTTTCAGAGAAAGAAAAACAAGCTGTAGAATGGCCCAGCCAATCACCTGAGCCGAATCCAATAAAAATACAAAATAAAGCTCAGGTTTGATAGACGAGAAGCATCAAGATTATAGGTGATTGCATGTGTGGAGCTGTGCTACTATTTCTCGAGCTCTCCAATTGTTTATCCTGATGAAGACCATACAGGTCGAAACGTGACTTTAAAAAGATTTTCGAGAGCTAAAGTGGCAGTGTGCGGATTTTCTTTTGATCTTTTGCTAGTGAATCCATTAACTAACATTAGCCTTATTGTAAATCTTGACCAATAATGTAATTAGTAATGAATGACTTTTTTTTTTTATTGATTACCCAACACTGCTCAGGAATGATGTACAAATCTGGTATTTTCTCTTCTAAATGGTGTTTATTGAAGGGTTGTTGATTTCCCAGTGATAACAGTTTCTTCTTGGACTCTGGATCTGCTCTCTGTGATCGCTCAGTTCAAGAGCTCAATATTTGGCTCCGTCCCTCAAACAATTACCCGCTTGCTCATTAGTTGTGTATTTGACAGCGACATCAAACGCTTGTTGATTTCCACTGATTGGAGAATAATTGATGTTTGGTTTTTTTCTCCGTCAGGCCGTTCCTTCACACGCAGGACATGTACTTCGTCTTCGTCCAGCTTCTGTCCAGCGGCTCGGCCTGGTTCGCCATCATCATCATCATCATCACCTGCCTGTTTCCTGACGTCATCAAGAAGGTGTTTTACCGGCACCTGCAGCCCACCAGCACGCAGAAATCTCAGGTAGAGCACTGTTTAATCTATGCTGATGTTATTGACGTGTACTGTTGAAGTCTGTATTATTCGCCGTCCTGTTGAATTTGAATTCTTTTAAAATATTTCACTAGTGATGTTTAACAGAGAGAAGATTTGTTTCAATGCATTTTTAAAGATAATCATTTTAAAAACTAATTTCTAATAACTCATGCTTTCATCTTTGCCATGCCTTATAATATATCCGTTGTAAAACGGATCACAAATATCACAGTTCGGATCACATAATGGTTTTTTAGTCATGGATCGAACCATTCTGTGAATCTGCCAAAAAGAGGAGACATATGTATGCTTACTTTTAGTTTTAACAAACAGAACGTAGAACCTGAAATTGAATTAAAAATAATATAAAGAAATACTCAGCTGAATAAAAATAAATGGTAAAATATTCAGTCCTGTGAAAAGTTCACTGCTACTTCTACTGTTGATGATAACGCTCAATGCAGAAATCTACCATCATAATTTGTACAACCCATATTTATATTTAGTCCCATTTTTGATAAATGATTCAGTTATTCACTCATAAAACTTCACGTTTTGTCGCTGGATGATCATTTTTGAAGAATTATTCAGTGGCATATTTTTGATGGCTGGTTGGCGCCACCTACTGGTTAAATAATGCAATTGTAGCCTACAACTTTCACGTTTGAGCGTCGAGTTAAATGCATATAACGGTGATTTTAAACTTTACCATAAACATCAGTGGTTTTATCTGAACTATAAGCTGCTCTCCCAGTACTGCTGTGTTATTTGACTGTTTGTAATTTCATAACTAACTCAAAAGACTAAAGACTGAATCTCTTTCTTGATATTGCCGTCTTTTAAATTTAACAGATTTGAATGCAGCGATTGGAAGGATTAATAAGTATATGCAAATCACCATCATTCATAGTTGATGTTGCGTGGGTGTTGAGATCCTGATCTTTTGATGATTGATCCTACACTGAATGCATTAATGCAGGCTAAACAAGCAGTGACAGAAAACACCTTTAATAACCTGAGACACCCACCACATCCTGAATATCCCACCACAACTTCTTACATCATCATTATATTTTACAGGAAAGCCTAAATGCTTTCATACATGGGATTTGAATGGCAAGAGAGGCGATTTCTCTGCGATCGTTACAATTTTAGGAACTATCTACAAGTATAAAAAAGCATAATCCGTGGGTCACGTGTGTTCCGAACCATGGGTTGTGATCCATGCGAATCATGGTTGATCAATTACACCCCTAATGTTTTGAGATACTAGTATTCAGCTGAAAGTGCAATAGACAACAGCAGTTTGTTCGGTTAACAATCGTAAACAAATTATTTCTTAATGGGGCTAATGATATCGAATGGTTTTAAAAATGTTAAAAGCGACATAAATCCATGAATAATACAGGGTGTCCACGGGGTCTTAAGAAGACTTCAAGAAGACTTAAGAAGTTTCTTAAAACAATCCAAAGAAACAGCATTCCTGATGCTGGTAGGTAGGCCATTCCATAGCTTAGGCGCACTGTACAAAAAAGCACGACCACCCATAGTCTTCAGTTTACAGCGTGGCTGACACAGCAAGATTGCAGATGAGGAACGAAGACTACGGTTGGGAGTGGCCAGAGTAACCAGGTCACAAATGTAGTCGGGTGCTAGCCCATGCACTGCTTTGTATGTTAAAACCAGAGTCTTCAAATCAATACGTGATTGAACAGGAAGCCAGTGAAGTTGCTGAAGTACAGGGGTGATATGAGGAAGTGTGTTAAAACCCGTGCAGCAGAATTTTGAATGTACTGTAAACGTCTCAGAGAGCTTGCTGGTAGGCAAGATTACATGATTACATGAATCAAGATACATGATTAACAGTGTTCAGAATAAAAAGAAATAAATGAAGAAAAATCTAATTAAAAAGCCAACAGAAACTGTAATGACCTTTGTTTAATACACTTCCTGACAAAAGTCTTGTCGCCATTAGGAACAACAAATAATACTTTGACTTCTAGTTGATCGTTTGGTATCAGAAGTGGCTTATATGAAAGGTGAAGGCCTCTAGATTTTGCTTATTTAAGCACAATAAAATACGATCATGTCTTGATTATGACTGATTTGATGAGGACAGTAAGCTCTGACTCTGCTCAGACTAAAGTGTCATCAGTGAACAGAAATAATGTCCAGTATAGAATATAAAGTCCTGCTGCAGTGGAGACAGAATGAATATTGTGTCTGACTCCATCATGAGCTTGGAGGACTGCATCCATACATCTCTGACACGACTCAAACCACTGATTAATAAAGTCATCTGGAATGAAGAAGAAAGCCTTCAGCAGGACTCCCAGAGTTCATCAAGAGTCTTTGTGTTCATCTTCAACGCCTCCTCCTTCATCTGACCCCAGACATGCTCAATAATGTTCATGTCTGGTGTCTGGGCTGGCCAATTCTGGAGCACCTTGACCTTCTTTGCCTTCAGGAGCTTTGATGTGGAGGCTGAAGTATGAGGAGCGCTATCCTGCTGGAGAATTGTCCCTCTCCTGTGGTTTGTAATGTAATGGGCAGCACAGATGTCTTGATACCTCAGGCTGCTGATGTAGCAGATCTCTCGCACGCCCCCATACTGAATGCAACCCCAAACCATGACTTCTCCTTCACCAAACTTGACTGATTTCTGTGAGAATCTTGGCTCCATGCTGGTTCCAGTAGGTCTTCAGCAGTATTGGTGATGATCGGGATGCAGATCAACAGATGATTCAGCAGAGAAATCCACCTTCTGCCACTTTTCCAAATGATCAACTAGAAGTCAGGTTATTATTTGTTGCTCTCACACCTGGCATCCACAACCAGACCTTTGTCAGAAAGTGTGTCTCTCCCTAATCAAACACGCATGAACCAGCTCATCAGAACATTAGAGAGACTCCAAAACCTGAGATGAATGGATCAAATAAGGAAGACATCCAAACTATGTGCTGCTGTTGTGCCTCCAGGAACAGCTTTGGGAAACACTGATTTAGATCACAGCGATTAGCTTGTAGCGGTTGAGGCACAGGTCACCCCTAACACACACTGAATTTCAAATGCGCGTAATCGCTCATCATCAAGCATTATTTAATGCGATATTAGAAAATGTGCATGTAAATATGTGTATGGAAACACAGCTAGTGTCTGTCAGTGTGTTTTGTGGTCTCTGCTGCAGAACAGGTCTGTGGCGTCAGCATCTGCTGTCCTGCGGATGACACCCGATACTTTTCAAGATCTCTCTCTCTCTCTCTCTGCTTCTGCTGCTTGTTTCCTGTTTCCTGTTTGCATTTCTGAATGTGTGTGGTTAGTGCTCTGTAGCTTGTATGTGTGTGTGTGTGTGTGTGTGTGTATTACTTCACATGTGACTCTTTCTCCTCTCTACTGCCCCTCTCTATGTGTGTGTGTTCTGTAGATGTACACCAACCGCGTGGCTATAGGTGACGACTTCATCGCGCTTCAGCCTCTGTCCCGAGCCAAGAATCAGCTGGGCAAGATTAGGTAGAGTAGGAGAGACACTCTCACACTGCATGCGGTGGACGAAACTAACAAGATAACCCAGAGAGATGAACCACACACGGGTCTAACTGTTCACCCTGCATGCCAGACCTGTTTACCTGCTGTAGTGCACGACTCTGAGGGTCACAAATGAGCATGTTTGAGGATGCTTCCTCGTGCTGCATGGGCTTCAGCTCACAGCCCCATCGGATGCTTTGTATACACGGCATTTAAGAATATAAGTGTTATCCGGATCGCATGCTCCCTAAATGATTTTATAGTCTATCAATGAGCACAGAAAGTGATCTCCAGTCCCACACACTGCAGGAAGTTGATAAAACTCTGAGTTTGGCGTTTGAGATGATCAGCTTTGTTCCAAAACCCAGTGATCTGCCGGTATCAGAGGTGGAAGAGTATCCAAAATCTATACTCATGTCAAAGTGCAAGTACTTGCAGAAATATTTACTCAAGTAAATACGCTTACTCGAGTAAGAGTAAAAAAGTACCATGGTAAGTGTGGCGGAGATGCTAGAACCTGCTTTTATGCATGCGTGACGTCGTAAATTGCATAAATGTAAATATGTGAATCAGATACAGTATTGGTCACAGTTAAAAGAACATGTAAACAGACAGGCAACAAATCAGAATTGCGCATCAAGACCTGACAGTGTAAACAGGGCCTTTGACACTTACCACTGTGTGTTTGTTCAGGTTGGAGCTGTAATTCAAGTATATGTTGCGATGTCAGTTCGATTTACAGTATAGTGTGCGTCGCATTATCAAACTATTCTTGTTGATATCTTGGAGTAAAAGCATCGACTGAACTTGAGGCCATAGGTGACCTGGTCCAATAAACGAACTACACAAACAGCGTGACCGTCCTTCTCAAAACCGCAGATGGCCATAGCATGGCCGCATTACAAACGCGTCTTCCTCGATTTTAGCCATCCTTCCAACATAAGCACACGCGCTCTAACCGAAAGTGGGAGACCTCTCGCGACACAATCTCTCCACTGCGGCGCCTCGCAACACTTGCAAACAAGTTATATAAATCCTATTCATTATCATTTGACAGTAACAGAGGAACGCCGCTAAATGTAGCGAAGAGTAATGATTGATCTCTATTCGTTTACTTGAGTAAAAGTACACATTTTTAAATGTACTCAAAGTACACGTTACCCAACATTTTTACTCAAGTAAATGCAACTCATTACTAACCACCTCCGGCCTTTAAAAGCCGGCGCTCACTGAGCGGTATGGAGTCCCCGTCACTATACTGGGGCATTAGGACCCACACAGACCACAGGTTGAGCGCCCCCTGCTGGTCTCACTAACACCACTTCCGGCAGCAACCTAGATTTCCCATGTGGTCTCCCATCCAGGTAAATCAGTCTCAGGCCCCGTTTACACTAATACGTTTTCGTTTTAAAGCGCGTCAGTTTTGCTACGGTTACGCCATCCGTCCACACTACGCCGGAGTTCTCGAGCGCCAAAAACTGAGTGTTTTGAAAACGCTGGAGAGGCCGTTTTCATTCTGAAATGCTGCTGCTCTGTCTTAGTGTGGATGAGGGAAAACGGAGACATCTGAAAACGGAGGCGGGGCTGCTGAGATTCGCTACCTGATTGGGGCTTTTGTGTCATTGCCTTCGTCACTGTATCCTTCCCTTATCCGTCAGGCCCCTATCTCATGACTATAACACATGGCTTTAACGCTACTGAAAGACAGTAGTGTAAACAACAACATGGGCACAGAAATGGGAGCGTTGTTTGCACTATTGTCTGTTTTAGGCGCCATTGTGCCTAATTCGACCTCGTCATCTGTCCACAAAAATGCCTCTCTTGCTTTCGTTGCCATCGCGTTCATTGTTCAACCGGCGTTTGTTTACTAACAATAACCAAATGCCGAGCGAGACGCATGCTTTCTGTTGACACTAAAATGCGCATGCCCAGAGTGCGCGAATGGTCATGTGATATACGTTTTTGGTGGCGTAGTGTGGACGGAGATATGTTCAGAGACGCTTGGTAAAACGCTACTGTGGACGCGGATCGTTTTTGATCTAAAACGCCGTTTTAAAATTAAAACGCACTAGTGTAAACAGCCTCAATAAAATGATTAAAGTCTCGCGTTAACAGCACATTAACAGCCCAACACTAATTTATACACTGTAAAAAACGCTGGCTTCCACACAGTTCCTTCATGTTGTCCGAACACAAATTGATTAAGTTAACAATTGTTTTTACAAACAGAAGTAGATTGAACAAAAAACAATGAAGTTGTCCCAAAAATACTCAAGAATTGTCTTGATTAAGCTCATTTTAAACTTTAAACATTAGTTCGAACAAGCAGCAACATCTTTTTTTTTTTTCTTTTTTTTTTTGAATGGTTAATTATTTATTAGTATTATTATCGTTATGTATTTATTTATGTACTGTAATGTCAAACCACTCTTAGGCTACCAAATTAGCAAGTCTACTGTAACACTCAATTGCCTCGCCTCCCCCACAGTGTTAAATTAAATGTAAAAATACATAGCAAACACATGAACATTGGTGACGCGTGTGTAGTGATGCTTCCTAAATCTTCCCCACTCAACAGTGCTGTGATCAGGAGAGCAGCTCACTAGCATTTGGAACAAAGCGCCTTCAGTTCCGGCAGTGGATGTGGGGCAGTTTCATGCTCGTTCACCTCTCTTCTGTTGTCATCCGTCCGGGAGACTCACCGCGCTGTTTTGTCCTTCCAGATGGAAGCGGATAAGGTTTCAGTCAGCTCAGAATATGACACTGCTGAAATCGGGAGCAGAGGGGAGGACAATCGGCCACTGATCGCTGCTTTTCCTCCGCCTCTGGTGCAGCCAAACCCATCCCCTAGGTAGTGCTCAACCCCGTCTATTGTGTGTTTACAGCATGTGACCAACATCACCCCGAACCATCCTGTCATGGGACACTTGTTCTCCCTGTGATGCGGCACTTAACACTGGCATGAGGCTTAGATCCTAACATCCATCTGCTGGAAACTTCTAATCTAATCTCTGCCTGAAGTGCCTTCATTTATGCATGTCGTCTTGTGTCAGATTCAAACTACACACTCCGATACAAGTACACTGTAATAAATAAAATCTCACTGCCTTCAATCAAATGAAGACTAGTCAAATCCACTTACATTAGTCATACGGACTTAAAGTATTAATAATTATTAATAAATAATTAGCTGAAACCTAAATAACTTAGCTGGTTAGCGTCCCGACTGGGCCAGTTGGCATTTCGGTATGGAGTTTGCATGTTCTCCCCATGTTGGTGTGGGTTTTCTCCAGGTGCTTCGGTTTTCCCCACAGTCCAAACACATGGATGCACTAAATTTGCAGTATGTTATGTGTCTGTGTGCACATGTGAATGAGTGCATATGGGTGTTTCCCAGTACTGGGTTGCAGCTGTAAGGGCATCCACTGTGTAAAACATATGCTGGAATAGTTGGTGGTTTATTCCGCTGTGGCAACCCCTGATAAATAAGGGACTATGCCAAAGGAAAATGAATGAATGAACATAGACACATCTGTTGTGAACTAACCCTTTAAAGCAGGGGTGTCAAACTCAATACCTGGAGGGCCGAAGCCCTGCACAGTTTAGTTCCAACCCTGCTCCAACACACTTACCTGTAGGTTTCAAACAAGCCTGGAGGACTCAATTAGTTTGATCAGGTGTGTTTAATTAGGGTTGGAACTAAACTGTGCAGAGCTGCGGCCCTTTTGGAACTGAGTTTGACACCTGTGATTTAAGGTAATCAAAAATCGCTGCTCTTAATCAGAGTATTATCTTAATCATCAAAGCGGAGTATTGGTGTCCATGTAAATGTACTCAGAGAAAGTGTCAGATGATGTCGCAAAGTCTGCTGACATTATCGGGGGACAATGTGGCCAAGGGCTACATCAAAGACTCGTACTAAAGACTATAGTCTACTTACAGGGACTTTGGTCACACCACCTCTAAACATTTAATTCTAAACAGCTTTGAGGGGCACACACACACAGACAGACAGACAGACAACACACACGGTAAAGTGCACCCCGTGAGCAGCTCATTCAACACGCACGATCACGTTCATCAAATTTGCTTAAATTAAATGTTCTAAAGTGTGGCTGTATTTCACACTAACTCTGACACACCAACCAGAAGCAGACGCTTTACAAAAGTTGCATGTAGGGGGAAAACACCTAAAACTTAATGAAACATTTGAGGGCGCATGGAATTACCAAGTCATGATAGTTCAGATAATCTGACATATCTGATTATTTTTAATTCATACAGTAATTAATACAGAAGTGTTGGTGTGATTGGTCTGTTTGGAAGCAGATATCTCGGATCAGGTGTGTATTTTCACAAACCACCGTCTGCTTTACTGTGATCCTCTCAGCTCTACAGATATTGCATGGGTAAATGTGATTCATTAATAGCTAACACATTTATTAGTGACCGAGATGAAATGGCAGCAGCCTCGTTGTTCATTTATTGCTTAGTGTGACCCTTTGGCCTGTGCTGGACAGCTTCTGCTTTCGATCAGAGCTGCGTTTCTCTGCTTACGGTCACAGGACATGGGTAGAGTCATGCTGCATTTAATCTCTCCACAACTTCCTGCTAATATTGATTTTTAGCAGAACAGCCAAGGTCCACATAGTAATAGCTGAAACTTTAACCTTGCTCACAGGTTAACAAGAAACGTCAAGAAAACAGGGACTGTATTTCTCGCCAAGGCTGAATGTGCGGGAGATTACTGTACTTGGCTGTCATTACAGTTCACGATATATGTGTGGATGCTGGCAGGTCAAGCACCTAATACACATCTTTTTTGTAGATGCTAGAACTTACTGTAGGGCTGCACCATATATTATTTCAGCATAGATGATGCAATGATGCAATGTGCACATGCGCAATCATTACATCACAATATCTTCAGTATTTTACAGATTGGGATGCATAAAGTAACAGATACTGAACAAATTTATTGTCAAAAGTAAAAGCTTGTCGATTAGTAATTATTAAGAATATATAAAGCATTGAAATCACAAGCGCTTGCATATTTTCAATGAGTGGAATTGTCCGGATTTGTATTTTTGGTCCTGGAATTGAACAATTATTAACATTAACGCAGTTTAGCTCTTCATTTAAGCTGTGAGTATTCACACACATTCAATACTTCCTCTGCACCTTCCAGAATCTGAATATTCACTTCTGTTTAAAATATGATGTATAATATTTAAAAGGCACTTTGTAGTTTAATTTAATTCAGTTTAAAATGTACTGTCATTAAAGGGCACCTATGGTGAAAAATCTACTTTTCAAGCTATTTGGACAAACATATGTGTGTATATATAGTGTAGACCATCAGATTGGGGTGATAAAAACACACACAGTCCTTTTTTTTTTTCAATTTAACAACATGAAAACGGTGGACCAATTGGAGCGGTTTTCAGACCGACCGCAACTTTACGTAGGAGTGCGGTCCCCCCGCCCACCCAATTGATTGACAGCTGGGCGCATTAACATGTCCCGGTAGTCATGTGTATAATCATGTCAACAAGATCAGGCAGACATACGCAAAGCAACCGGGAATAAAAGGTCTGTTCTGTTCGCTAGGATCAGCAATCATCATCAAATGTGGTCAAGAGTGAGTTTCACATGTTTAAAGTGTTTTAAAACAGAGTATGTGTGTAATTAATTACAGCGTTTTACTTCAGCTTTACTTCATCAGGACAGCTGCGTGTCAGAACAATTATAAAAGAAGACGCTTCAATCCCGGTTTGTGGAAGTTAAATCAGGTTTATTTTGTACATTAGCATAACAGATATCCACACAGCACTGGAGGTTAGCCTGTATCCTGTTACATTTGAGTGCAAAAACAGTGCTAAGCTAAGCGCACTCTGTCTGCCTGCCTACCTGCCTGTGTGTGTGTGTCAGCTGCGGTGTGTGCGCGCGTGAACTTTGTAATGATATTGTGTGTGACTCATCAATGCAACTTCACAATACTGATTAGTAAAGGTTAGTCCTTACTGTAGTATCTCACAAACGCTACGCGAGACCTTCTTCCTCTAAGTCTGTCTGTTGTCTGACGCAGCCGAGGGAGGAGATTAAAGCACGCGGGAAGGCACGTAGAAACAGTAGGTGGGCAGAACTCGCCTTAAAGGCACAGTACGACAAAACCACCCCCTGCTGGAAATGTGTATAAAACAGCATCTTGTAAAAGGTAAAATGAAAAATCTGATGGGTGTTTTGAGCTGAAACTTTATATACACATTCTAGAGACGCAAAAGTCTTATATTAAACCTGAAAAAAGGGGTAACCTAGGTGCCCTTTAATTCAGTGGTTGAAGTTCGGCTCTTAAAATTCAACATTACATAGGGGATTCATTGTTAATTCAATTGTTTTATTTGTATTATTCAGTTAGTGTCATTCAACAAGCTTTTTATTTATTTCAATAAATGTGTTTCATATTAGGTTAATAGCGAACTTTTACCTTTGTGGAATTATTAGTGTATAATTTGCATTATTGTATTGTTAGGATACGGTGTAATCATTTTTCCATATGCATTCCTCTAAAAATCACCCCACACTTTCCAAAATATCAGTTTTTCATTAATTTACTTAAGTCATCTGGTGATATATATATTTTATATCACTAAATATATAACATAAATGAAATAATGCAGTGGCATTTGCAATGCAACACTACTAGAACTAAGTGTTTGTACACCTAAAACTCCTCGTTTAAGCGCAGACCAACAAACATGTTTGTCTCAGGATTTTACTACAGTAATTCTGCAACGCATGCTGAAGAGAGTCTGGAGGGATTTCATGTTAATATCTCTCATTTGCATAATGCCTCGTCAGGTTTCCAGAGGGAGATCAAAGAATTGACTTCCTCGTTCTGGCTCATACACTGCGTTTTCTCCTCTTTGGATGCCGTTGGAGTGCGTCTGATTGCAAATCTAATTTGAATAAACTCTTGTTGGAGCACTCGGGCTGTAATTTAACATGCGGGTCTCTGGTAATTGAGTATTGAGTAGAAGAGTTAAAGGAAGATGTCATTTAAGTCCAGGCTGAAGCCAAGGATCTCTGGTTTGGGAGAAATGGCTTCATTTATGTATTCATTTTTGGTCAATCACTGTCTCGCTTCTGGCATTGCATGATTTATATGTTAAACCATCCTCTGTGTCTGTGATTCAAGCTATGACTCCCATTATTGAGATGACCAGATGTCCTGTATTTGAGGCTCTTTTCTAATCTCCTTATTGGATCTTATTATAACATCAGTTTCCTCAATTAGAGTATGCATTTGTTAACTATTAGTCCTTCATTTGAAGTAATAAAGCGAAAAAACTGTGATGAAACAAACATCAGTGCTCTTGACCTTCTCAACTATTTTAAAAACATGACATTTTAATTCATGTTCGGGAAAGGAAAATAAATTGAAGGACAGTTAAACACCATCTCATATAGTTCAATATCTCATATTTGTGTTTGATAGCAAAAAGAAACTTAAAGAAACTCTTTAAATCAAACAAGAGATTGCAAGGAAAAATCATCCAAATAGTGTGCACTACCTGACAGAAAGTCTTGTCGTATATCTCAGTTCATTCATTCATTCATTCATTTTCTTGTCTGCTTAGTCCCTTTATTTATCCGGGGTCGCCACAGCGGAATGACCCGCCAACTTATCCAGCAAGTTTTTACGCAGCGGATGCCCTTCCAGCCGCAACCCATCTCTGGGAAGCATCCACACACACATTCACACACACACTCATACACTACGGACTATTTAGCCTACCCACTTCACCTGTACCGGAAACCGGAGCACCCGGAGGAAACCCATGCGAAGGCAGGGAGA